TTCCACTTGCAGGATTGCATTCTGCAGAAATAACCAAACATGCACAGGGGCGCCTGAGTGGCTCAGTTAAACGTCCAGCTTTGGCTCAGGTCATGATCTTGCGGTTTGTGGGTTCAAGCCCTGCGTTGGGCTCTGTGCTGATAACTAGCTCAGAGCCTGGAGCCTGTCTTCAGATTCTGTGTCTCCCTCTCTTTCTGTCCCTCTCCTGCTCACACTGTCTCTCTCTCTCTCTCCAAAATAAATTAGGGGTGCCTGGGTGGCTCAGTCGGTTAAGTGTCCAACTTCAGCTTAAAAATAAATAAAAATAAGTAAAATAAATAAAAAAATAAAATATAAAATAAATTTTTAAAAATTAAAAAAAAATGCACAGAAATGTTGACATTCTTTTTTAAACAGTATTTATTTACTTAAGTAATCCCTATATCCAATGGGGGATCAAACTCCCCACCTTGAGATCGAGGGTCACATGTTCCACCAACTGAGCTAGCCAGGTGCCCCAAAATATTTACATTCTTGACATGTAGTGTTGTTTTTTTTTACAGGAAAAAGGCTTTTCATGAATGCTGTGGTTAAGCTACAGCATATACATAGGAAAGAATAGTGTGTGTTCATTCAAAAACCATATTGCTCAGGGGGCGCCTGGATGGCTCAGTCGGTTAAGTATCTGACTTCGGCTCAGGTCATGATCTTGTGGTTTGTGAGTTCAAGCCCCATGTCCGGCTCTGTGCTGACAGAACAGAGCGTGGAGCCTGCCTCTGATTCTGTGACGTCTCTTTCTGCCCCTCCCCTGCTTTCTCTCTCTCTCTATCTCTCAAAAATAAACATTTAAAAAAATCAAATTGCTCAGAATCATAAATGCTCAAAAGTAATGATGAACAGCTAAAGCAGAATACCAGCCCACAGAGAGTACTGCAATCCAGTTTTGTTTGTAAAAATTACGTGTGTGCATGTGCGTACTTCAAAATGTGACTAGGGGCTAATTCTGGGTAATGGGATTACAGGTGACTTCTTTTTTTTTCTTCTGCGTACTTTTTTGTTTCTGTGAATGTGTTTATAATATGCATATTTTACGATGAGGAAAAAACATCTTTTGAAAGGTCTTTTCTACCAACCATGCCCTAAATAAGGCTGCAAATGGGCAAGTTTGGGGCACCTGCGTGGCTCAGTCCATTAAGCTCCTGACTCTTCTTATTTTTTTAATGTTTTATTTATTTCTGAGAGAGAGAGAGAGAGAGAGACAGCCTGAGCGGTGGGTGGGTGGGGGGTGGTTAGAGCTCTGAACTGGCTGTCAGCACAGAGCCTGACGTGGGGCTCAAACCCACAAATCATGAGATCTTGACCTGAGCCGAAATCAGATGCTTAACCAACAGAGCCACCCAGGCGCCCCAAGCTCCTGACTCTTGATTTTGGCTCAGGTCATGATCCCAAGGTCGTGGGATCAAGCCATGCATCAGAGCCTGCTTGGGATTCTCTCTATCTCTTTCCCCTCTCCCTGCCCCTCCCTCCCTCCTTTTCTCCCTCCCTCTCTTTCTCTTTCCCTCTCTCTCTCTCTCTCTTTCTATCTCTCAAAAGTAAATAAATATTTTTTAAAAATGAACGACTCCACCTGATCCCAGGTTCTATATTTTGGGTAGATTAGATGCTGAATGTTGGGCTCATTCGACACAAGCACAGAGAGATTTGCCACGAAGCTAATGGGGCTTCTGCGTCCCGCTCTCTTCCTGCACCCCTCCCCCCGAGGCTGTGGGAGCCCCTGCAGCACGCGCACGTTTGTATTTGTACAGATTGCAAGGTGAGGTGTCTTAGCCACATCAGCTCCGGTTGCTGCCTCCTGCCCTCCCGTCCTCGCCCCCACAACCCCCGAATCCGCTTCCCGCTGGGCCGTCAAGTCCCACAGACCAGTGCCTTGAATGACGTACGCTTGCTGTGGGACAGTTCTGGAGTCCAGGAGGCAGGCAGTGGGGTTTTGTGGGGCTCCAGTCAGAGGGTCACGCAGGTTCCATTCCTTCTAGAGGCTTCGAGGGAGACCACACGGCTTGCCTTTTCCAACTCCTGGAGGCAGTCCCCGTTTCTCGGCTCACGGTCCCTTCCAGCCAGGGTACCCTCTGCCCTCTGTTTCCCTTGTCACCTCTTCTTCTTCCACCTCCCTCTGGGCCCTTGTCAAGGGGTCCACCTCGAGAGTCCAAGATCACCCCCTAAACATAATCACATCTGCAAAGCCCCTGTTGCCCCACGAGGGAATAATTCACGGGCTCTGGGGATTATGACAGGGACATCTTTGGGGGGACATTATTGTGCCTCCCAGGATCCCCTGTGGCAGGGGATACTGGAGTGGACACGGGCACCTTCAGGGTCTCAAAAGTGGAAGGTCGGTTGGGTATGTTTAGTTTTAGTTTAGCATTGTTAGGTGGCTTGCTGTTATTTCTGTGTCGAGGTGAGCTATTGCGAGGCACCCCAGCATGGCATGGGTTCCAGGAATATTCTTATGGTCCATTGGGTCAACTCACCCAGCAATGGGACATCGAGGGGGTATGTTACGACCTGAGGTCACCCTGTGGTGTGAACATGTGCTCAACTCCAGAAGGATGTGAGGAGCAGAGGAAAAACAGGTCTTAAACATACGGAGCCAGAGGCGCCTGGGGGGCTCAGATGGTTGAACGTCTGACTATTGATTTCGGCTCAGGTCGTGATCCCAGGGTCATGGGATTGAGCCCTGCATTGGACTCTGTGCCGAGCATGGAGCCTGCTTAAGATTCTCTCTCTCCCTCTGCCCCTCTTCCCTGCTTATGTGCTCGCGCGCCCTCGCTCTCTCTCTCTCTTGAATGAATGAATGAATGAATGAGTGAATCAATGAGTGAATGAAGCCAGAAGCTAGTCCTGGAAAATTCTTTCAATCATTAAATGGGTAAACTGTAAATAGGGGACTTGTTTCTCATTGATGCCTGTAGCATATGCAGTCATAAATACACCACCCATTCTTTTAATTCTTGGAAGGAGTTACACACAGTAGAATTTATCAGAATTCTTTTTTTTTTTAATGTTTTATTTATTTCTAGGAGAGAGAGAGAGACAGCGTGAGCAGGGGAGGGTCAGAGAGAGAGGGAGTCACAGACTGAAACAGGCTCCAGGCTCCGAGCTGGCAGTCAGCACAGAGCCCGACGCGGGGCTCGAACCCACGAACCGCGAGATCATGACCCAAGCGAAAGTCGGACGCCCAACCGACTAAGCCACCCAGGCGCCCCAGAATTTATCAGAATTCTTGTCTGTAGGGCATATCCTCTAGCACTATGATGAATAGCAAGTGTGTTACAAATGAATTTGCATGTTTTATGCATCCCTACCATCAATAATAAAAATATAATCAGCAATGTTGGAGGAAATGTTAAATTATTTCTCTTTTCTCTATATAGAGAATATTATAAAATTATTGTCACGGGAAGAGGCAATCAAAGAGTCTGTAGCCAAAAATATAGGGGAAAAGGGTGTTGGAGAGGCATGTCAGCTGGTAAAAATACTGCACCCAGTTCTGACAAGCAGCAAGCAGCTCTCGGACCCCAGCTGGGTGTCCTGCAATTTAACTCAGTTCTGACTCGTACCGGAGAGAGCATCAGATCCCACAGGTTAAGGGCTCAGCCCTCTGAGGCCACCCATCACTTCAGATGCTAACATCAAGTCCACGTTGTCAGCTGGGCTTCTGACCTATGGCTACAGATCGGAAGCTCCATAGACCCCTTCGTTGGGTTTGATTAATTGGCTAGAGCATCTCACAGAACTCAGAAGCTTCTTACTTACTGGATTACTGACTCATTACAAAAGGATGTAAGTCAGGAACAGCCTGAGATGTAGAGGGCAAGTAGGGGGAATTGTGCAAAGCTTCCTCGTCCTCTCCCAGCTAGTCACTCTCCCTAAATCACCAGGTGTGCAACCCAGGAGCTCCCGACCCTGTCCTTTTGGGGTTTTTTGGAGGCTCCATAGTATAGGCACAATTGACTGCAACACTGGCCACTAGGGATTGAAATTAACCCCTCCCTATCCCTCTGCTCCTTCCCAGAGGCCAGGGGGCGGGGCTAACATGCCACTCCTCCGTCACGTGGTCGGTTCCCCTGGCAACCAGCCCCATCAGGTGCCCATCTTGGGTTACCTCCTCAACCAGGACAAAAGACACTTTTATTGCTCTTTCAGGAAATTCCTAGACTTTCAGGAGCTCTGTGCCAGGAACAGTGGATAAAGACCAAATACATATTTCTTAGGTGGTTAATAAAAATAAGTTCTTCTCTGGGTTTTATGATGTTTAAAGTATTTGCTTAGTGGGTGCCTTTCATTTTTTTCCCCTGGGGGATTTTTCTCATTAAAAAAACTTTTTTTAACGTTTATTTATTTATGTTTTTGAGAGACAGAGAAAGCACAAATGGGGAGGGGCAGAGAGGAGAGGAAGACAAAGAATCCACAGCAAGCTCTAGGCTCTGAGCTGTCAGCACAGAATCAGACACAGGACTCGAACCCATGAACAATGAGATCATGACCTGAGCCAAAGTCGGACACTTAACTGAGCCACCCAGGTGCCCCTGTATTTTTTTTTAATTGAGTAGTCTCTATGCATAATGTAGGGCTCAAACTTACAACCCTGAGATCAAGAGTCTCATGATTGGGGTACCTGGGTGGCTCAGTCAGTTGGGAGTCTAACTCATGATTTCGGCTCAGGTCATGATCCTAGAGTCATGGGATGGAGCCCTGCGTTGGGCTCTGTGCTGGCAGTGCAGGGCCTACTTGGGATTCTCTCTCTCTGCCCCTCCTCTGCCTGCACTCTCTCTCTGTCTCTCAAAATAAATAAATATTAAAAAGAAATAAGAGTTGATGGCTTCAAAAAGGAAAGTTAAAAAAAGTCTTATAACTCTACCAACTGAGTCAGCCAGGAGCTCCCATATTCTTTTCTTAAAGCAGACCAATTAGGTGCCACAAAATCTGGTGTATCATATTTCCATTCTTTGTTTCTATTTCAGTGTAAAGAGCTGGCCAAGTCCAAGGCAGAAGTGGCCTGCATCGCAGTGTACGAGACAGATGTGTTTGTCGTTGGAACCGAGAGAGGACGAGCCTTTGTAACGGCCAGGACGGATTTACAGAAGGATTTTGCAAACTACTGTAGGTGTTAACAGTTTGATCCTTTGTATTCATAATTCTTAAAATATTTGCAGGGAAGACTTATGTAATGTTTCCTTTTAAAATAGCCTCAGAAGGGGCACCTGGGTGGCTGCTGGGAGGTTAAGCATCCAACTTCAGCTCAGGTCATGATCTCGCGGCTTGTGGTTCAAGCTCCATGTCGGGCTCTGTTCTGACAGCTCAGAGCCTGGAGCCTGTTTCGGATTCTGTGTCTCCCTCTCTCTCTGCCCCTTCCCCACTCCTTCTCTTTCTCTCTCTCTCTCTCTCTCTCTCTCTCAAAAATAAGTATTAAAAAACACTTTTTAAAAAATAGCCTACACGTTATCCTGAAAATGCTTCTGATACATATCTTTTGACTTGGCATACCGGTGAATATCTGCTTAACACTGATAGGTCCAAGAAACATGGGCAATGTATTCTGTACTTTGTCTTCAGACGCACCCTGGTTTTGTAAAATAAATTTGAGGAACATAGAGTAAATTGTCTTTGATTCCTAAAATAAACCCACGTTAAAATAAATTCTTATTTTACTTGTTCCCAGAGGAAAGGAAATAAACCTCTGGGCTTTTCAGCTAGTTCATTGAGTTAATAACCATTTTCCCTTTTTTCACTAGGGTATCTTCAGAGCCTTTTTTTTTTTTTTTAATGCTTCTTTATTTTTGAGAGAGAGACACACAGAGTATGAGCGGGGGAGGAGGAGCAGAGAGAGGGGGAGACACAGACTCTGAAGCAGGCTCTGAGCTGTCAGCACAGAGCCCGATGTGGGGTTCAAACTCATACACTGTGAGACCATGACCTGAGCTGCAGTCAGACGCTTGACCAACTGAGTCCCCCAGGTGCCCCTTCAGAGCTTTTAATGTGTTACAGGTGTCGGGGAGCGCCGGTGAGTGTATGTAGCCATATGTGCCAGAAACTAGTCTAGGATGTTAAAACCTACACCTTGTATAGCAATGGTTTCTACCATGGTAGCTCATCAACCCAGCACCTTAGTATTTTCTGGAACCAAGAAAGGGAAAGAAAACCCACTAAGGTTTCTCTAAGGATATAATGCCAGTGGGAGGGACTGTAGAGAGAGAGCGAAGATACAGCCATAGATGTTTCCAAGGGTTGTCAGAGGGAATGTGAACATAAATAAATAAAGATTTACATATGTCAAGACCATATGTATGTATGTGACGGACAGAGGGATTGATTGATTCAGATTGGTTTCCAAGACCAAAATTAGAGTCTCCACAATCAGAAAGATAGGTTCAAATATGAAGCAATATTTATATGATATAGTAAGTGTATAATGGATGAACAGGAAGGGTGTTCTCAATTCATAACATCAGCTGCCATTTGGATTCCTAATTACAGACTTCAAGTTTCACAGTTACATGCTAATTTTTCAGATATAGGTCCATTCATACTTTCTATTTTTTTTTAAATGTTTTATTTCTGAGAGAGAGAGACAGCATGTGCAGGGGAGGGTCAGAGAGAGAGGGAGACACAGAATCCAAAGAGGGCTCCAGAGCTCAACACAGAGCCCAATGCGGGGCTCGAACCCATGAGCCATGAGATCATGACTTGCGCTAAAGTTGGATGCTTAACCCACTGAGTCACCCAAGCACCTCTCAACTTTATTCTTAACTTGTTCATTCATGAATGTTGTCTAATTTGTTGGGGAAAAATTGGTTTCTAGTATTTGCTTTGTAATTTTAGTGTCTGTATTAATGTCTCTGCTTTTGTACCCCGGTGAAGCTCCTCCTGTGGTCCCTTTCAGACCATACAGCAAATAGCAGTTTTGTTATCATTTCCTTTCAGCTACTGCTATTCCCTGTGTTGAATTATTTATAGTTCTTTAACAGTAGATTCATTTCAGAGGTGATCACCATGTTATATTATCCTGTTCATCATAAATACCCTGTTCTTGGGCTGTTTGGGTGGCTCAGTCAGTTGAACATCCCAGCTTCAGCTCAGGTCATGATCTCACGGCCCGTGAGGTCAGGCCCCGCATCGGGCTCTGTGCTGACAGCTAAGAGCCTGGAGCCTGCTTCAGATTCTGTGTCTCCCCGCCTCTCTGCCCACCCTCCTCCCTACCCACCCTCACCCCCCACTTGTGGTCTGTCTGTCTGTCTCTCTCAAAAATAAATAAACATTTTATTTAAAAAAATCTTGCTTTAGGGGCACCTGGCTGGCTTAGTCAGTAGGACACATGAGCCTTGGTCTTGGGGGTCATGTGTTTGTTCGAATCCCACGTTGGGGGTCATTTACTTATAAAAAAAATTCTTGTTTATGTTTATCCATTTATCCCCTCTTTCCTTTATGATACCAGGAGCATAGACACTGAGGGAATGTTCGGAACAAGTGCTTGGAGACTGACTCTGCCTTTTGCTAGCTTATAGGCATTGCTGAAGGGGTGCGTGAGGCCAAATCCCCACGCCCTGCGAACGGGATGCAGATTGACTCAGGAGAAACAGAAATACTCAGAAAAGCAGTTGAAGACTATTTCTGCTTTTGTTACGGTAAAGTTCACCCCCAGCATTAGTTACCGGCATAGCTCACCAAGGAGTAGGAGTGTTACAGATCACCTTATTGATGTGACTGTTTAGATGCCTCTAACTTCTTTTAAAGGTTTATTTTTGAGAGAGACAGACAGAAAGACTGTGAGTGGGGGAGGGGCAGAGAAAGAGGGAGGCACAGAATCTAAAGCAGGCTCCAGGCTCTGAGCTGTTAGCACAGAGCCTGACGTGGGGCTCCAACTCACCAACGGCGAGATCATGACCTGAGCCGAAGCTGGACGCTCCACCCACTGAGCCCCCCAGGCGCCCCTAGATGCCTCTAACATTTAAAATTCTACATTCTCCTTAAGCCAAGAGCCAGTTCCTCGTGGACATCTTCCAGAGACAGCTTGATCTCTGCTGGGCCGTGGAAATGTCTGATAGATCAGACTTCATTCTTTGTTCTTGCCTCCCATTTTAGGGAGCCCCCCGCCACAGGGCCAATGCAATTGTACTTGACACTTGAATAGTGTAGGGGTTCGGGCACCAATCCACACTGCAGTCAAAAATCCATATCTAATTTTTGACTCCTCTAAAACATAGCTACTAATAACCTACTGTTGACTGGAAACCTTACTGGTAACAAAAATAGTCAATTAATATGTATTATGTGTGTTATATGTATTATACAGTGTATTTCTACAATAGAGTAAGCTAGAGGAAGGAAAGTGTTACTATGAAAATTGTAAGGAAAATTGTACTGGCTGGGTCAGTCGGTAGAGCGTGTGACTCTTGATCTGTCCGTTGTCAATTTGAGCCCCACAATGGGTGTAGAGATTACTTTAAAAAAATAAATACTTAGAAAAAAAAAGAAATAGAGGGGTGCCAGGGTGGCTCAATCAGTTGAGCGACCAACTTTGCTTTAGGTCATGATCTCACAGTTCATGGGTTTAAGCCCATGTCGGGCTCTGTGCTGTTAGCTCAGAGCCTGGAACCTGCTTCAGATTCTGTGTCTCTCTCTCTCTCTCTGCCCCTACCCCTCTCATTCTCCCTCTCTCTCTCTCTCTCTCAAAAATAAATAAGCATTAAAAAAGAAAGAAACAGAGAAAATGCATTTACAGTATTATGTATTTATTGAAAAAAGGCTACACATAAGTGGACCGGCACAATTCAAACCTGTGTTGTTCATGGGTGAACTGTATTAAAGATGTTCATTGCTGGATTAGGCACCAGCCTCAACCTTCGTCTTTCCACCTACTCATGTCTTTTTTTTTTTTTTTTAATGTTTTTTATTTATTTTTGAGAGAGAGAGAGAGACAGCATGAGCAGGGGAGGGTCAGAGAGAGAGGGAGACACAGAATCTGAAACAGGCTCCAGGCTCTGAGCTGTCAGCACAGAGCCCGACACGGGGCTCGAACCCACAAACTGTGAGATCAAGACCTGCGCCAAAGTTGGACGCTCCACTGACTGAGCCACCCCGCCGCCCCTCATGTCTTTTTTTTTTTTTTTAATGTTTATTTACTTGTGAGAGAGAGAGAGAGAGAAAGCATGTGAGTGGGGAGGAACAGAGAGAGAGGGAGACACAGAATCCAAAGCAGGCTCCAGGCTCTGAGCCGCTAGCACAGAGCCCAACGCGGGGTCTAAACCCACAAACCATGCGATCATGACCTGAGCCAAAGTCAGAGACTTAATCCACTGAGTCATGTAGGTGCCCTCTATTATTTTCTTAGTTTAGAGGGAGAGAGAAGATATGTGCACACACGGGGGTGAAGGGCAGAGGGGGAAAGAGAAAGAGAGAGACAGAGATTGAGAGAGAGAATGCCAAGCAGGCTTTTATACTCAGCAAAGAGCCGGACGCAGGGCTTGATCCCACCATCCTGATATCGTGACCTGAGCTAAAATCAAAAGTCAGATGCGTAACTGACTGAGCCTCCCGGACGCCCAGCCACCGGTGTTTCTTTATTGCACCGGATGAAACTGACAGGTAGGGCCACCTTCCTACCCTCTAAAGACACCACGCCCCTCCTTGTAGGTAAAGCCTTGGGGACAACAGCGATGGTGCCCGTTCCCTACGACAGGATCCTGAGAGACCCGGCGGCGGTGGCCGTGCAGGGGCTTCCAGAAGGAGTGGCCTTCCAGCACCCTGGGAACTATGGTCTCGCCACCCTGAAATGGATTTTGGAGAACAAGGCGGGGATCTCGTTCATCATAAACAGGTGGCGGGCTCCATCCCCTCATCAGGGCCAGTTTGCTTGCAGCTAAAGCGACAGCTTAATTTCAGTTTGCTTGTTAATTGTGTCCTGTTATACTCAGAGGTTGGTTATTCAGGGTTTCATCTCTTTCTTGTGTGTTCCTGCCGGCTAATAGTGTCGGTTTTCTTGCAGGCCTTTCCTAGGCCCAGCGACTCAGCTCGGTAAGTGACGGCTTCTCACACTCGGTGACTGCCCATGTCTGCTAAACCAGACCTGCTTTTCTTTAAAAAAAAAAAAATTGTTTTAATGTTTCATTTATTTTTGAGAGACTGAGAGAGACAGTATGAGCAGGGGAGGGTCAGAGAGAGGGAGACACAGAGTCTGAAACAGGCTTCAGGCTCTGAGCTGTCAGCACAGAAACCGATGCGGGGCCCGAACCCACAAACCGTGAGATCATGACCTGAGCCGAAGTCAGATGCTTCACCGACTGAGCCCCTCCAAGGCGTCCCCCCCAGCCCTGCTTTTCTTACTTGAAACGCAAGTTGGGCACATTCTAAAGCTGGTGTGTCCCTTGCCTTCTCACTACCTGGGAAGCAGCTTCTGACACCCTGGGGCGGGGGCCGGGGTCTTGCGGGGTGCGCAGCTCAGGGAAGGACACGGCCCGACGAGCTGGGACGGGATTCCGCCCCCACGGTCCAACCACAGAGGGCAGGATCACAATGACGCCGGGTCACTCACAGGTCCTGTGACCTGCAGCCACCGGCCGCGCACTGTGGGGTGGGGAGTGGATGGAGGGCGGACAGCCGTTTCTCGTGCTCCGGAGACTCATAGTCTAGAAGCAATGAGACTGCCCCACAGAGAGCCAGGGGTGACCCGGGGTCTTTCCAGGACGGCTGGCGGAAACCCCACAAGTCCTGGGGAGGGTTTCGAGGTGTGCGCTCAGAGGGGCTTTGCGGAGGCACCACGTGGCTCTCAGCACACTGGTTCTGCCGGAAAGCCCGTCCACACAGCCCAGGCAGAAGGTAACGTGGCTGGGTGTTTGACGCCGAGTTTGAGAACCCAGGGCACTTCATAATCTCCTTAACTTACGATGATGAAGGAACCAAAAAAATACTGATTTTTCCAGAAGCGTTTGGAGATCCCCCTCTGCCCACTGCTTATTTCCCCAGATTATTAATCTGGAGCGTAGTTGGAAACTGTGGGCCATGCCTGTCTGTGAGAGACCAGGTCTGGTCCAAGAGGGTGCTGTGCTGAGACTACATAGGGACAGACAGATGCCCAGGGAGGGGGGTGCAGAGTTCGCAGGCACACGCAGGAGCACACAGGGCCTGGGCCACTCACAGAGCAGTCACTTCCAGAGCAATGGAAAGTACCCAGAATTCCCTAGCTCATGTTAAAGGGCAGCCCTGAGGGGGAGGGGCGGCAGGTGACTGAGTGACTGTGGCCCCTGTCGACTCCTCATCCCCCACTCTGCCCACACACATGGCCCCAGGACACGGGGCTGCTTCGGATCAGTCTCTCCCCAGTATATTCTGTAAAGGCCTAGGCTGGAGTTCTGTCCTCTCTGTATGTACTTTCACGTTACGTGCCTCACGTATTGTCATTTTCAAGGTGTGGAAAGGGGCTAGTGTGTGTCTTCTTGTGCCTGCACAGGTGGGTCTATGGTGGTCACAGATGCTAAGAGATCAGTGGCGTCACCAAGGGAAAGGTAAGGGACATAAAGAATAAAATCCGCATCTAACCCCAGAGTGTTAGGTTTTAGACCATGGAAAGTTTCCCTTGTTTTGTTATGTATTCTTTTTTTTTTTTTTAATGTTTTTTATTTATTTCTAGGAGAAAGAGAGAGAGAGAGACAGCGTGAGCAGGGCAGGGTCAGAGAGAGAGGGAGTCACAGACTGAAACAGGCTCCAGGCTCTGAGCTGGCAGTCAGCAGAGAGCCTGACGCGGGGCTCGAACCCACGAACCGCGAGATCATGACCCAAGCGAAAGTCGGACGCTCAACCGACTAAGCCACCCAGGCGCCCCTTGTTATATATTCTTTATTTAAAAGGATGTTTGGGATTTTAAGGCTATGTTCAATGGACACCTTTAGTTGTATAACACATTATTAAAAAAAGTTTTTTAATGTTTATTTTTGAGAGACAGAGCATGAGCAGGGAAGGAGTAGAGAGAGGGAGGCACAGAACCTGAAGCAGCTTCCAGACTCTGAGCTGTCAGCACAGAGCCCGACGTGGGGCTTGAACCCACGAACTGTGAGATCATGGCCTGAGCTGAAGTCGGACGCTTAACCGACTGAGCCACCCAGGCGTCCCCTGTATGACAAATTATTAAGAAAGCGAACGTCAAATTAAAGAGTTGGTTTTGCGTTGAGCTGGCTGGTGGGGAGGTAGGACGGCATGGAGTTCTGGAGGTTGGGGGGTTTGAGCACAGTGTGTCCAGTTCTCTGTGCTCACTTGTCACGCGGCTGGCTTGTGTTGACAAGGTTCCCTTCTGCTTTCAGCTGTGGCCCCATCAGTGTGAAAACGGAACCCATGGAAGACTCAGGTAAGTACACTGGTGCTTGTAGAGTCAGGTATTTGGCAGGTTATCATTTGACCCCTTTCTTTTTGTTTTACTTCTAAAACATGGACTCTCAGTAAACTAAGAATGAGGGGGGAATGCTTCCTCAGTTTGATTTTTAAAATCTACAAAAAGCAGACAGCTGACCTCACACTTAGTGGTGAGAAGCTAGAAGTTTTCACACTGAGATCAAGAACAAGGAAGGATGTCCGCTCTGGCACTTCCTTCCAGCACCGCACTGAAAGTCCTTGCTGATTCAATGGGACAAGAAGAGGAAATAGAAGGCTCACAGATTGGGGATGATGAAAATAACTGCCTTTGTTCACAGGCGACACGGTCATCTATATAGACAGTTCTGGGGCGCCCGGGTGGCTCAGTCGGTTGAGTGGCCAGCTCTTGATTTTGGCTCAGGTCATGATCTCACGGTTGTGGGATCGAGCCCCACGTCGGGTTCCGTGCTGAATGTGGAGCCAGGTTGGGATCCTCTCTCTGTCCCTCTCCCGATTGCTCTCTCTGTCTTTCTCTCAAATAAAAATAAATTTTAAGAAAATCCCAAAGAATTGACCAATGAAAGGGGTGGTGGTGATTAGGGCACTAAATAACCTCAACAGGGGCCTTATCCCGGCCTCCCCCTATTCCTTAAAGAAAGAAAAATAGTAGTAATTAGAGGGAAAATGTTAAAAGGTCAAAAAAATATTTTAGTTGCAAATGCTTGAGGGATGGGAAAATCTTTGAAAGCATTAAAAGTGCAAAGGTTAGAAAACTAAAAATAACCAAGTACATAAAACCAAAATTCAAAATCAAGTCAATAAAATTGGACACAGGCTGGGGTGCCTGGCTGGCTCAGTCGGAGGAGTGTGTGACCCCTGCTCTCAGGATTGTGAGTTTGAGCCCCATGCTGGGCATAGAGCTTACTTAAAAAAAAAAAAAAAAAAGAGTGGTACCTGGGTGACTCAGTTGGTTAGGCATCCAACCAACTCTTTGATTTTAGCTCAGGTCATGATTTCACGGTTGGTGAGATGGAGCCCCAAGTCAGGCTCTGTGCTGACAGGGCAGAGCCCACTTGGGATTCTCTCTCCCTGCTCCTCCCCTGCCAGGCTCACTGTCTTTATCTCTCTCTCTCTCTCTCTCTCCTCTCTCTCAAAATAAATAAACTTTAAAAAAAAATAGGCCTCTTTTTTTCTTTAAGCTCTACACCAAATGTGGGACTTGAACTCACAACCCCGAGATCAAGACCTGCACACTCCTCTGAGTGAGCCAGCCAGGTGCTACGAGGCCTCTTTTTTTGATTCCTCCTTTTGGAGATGTGGTTCAGTTTAAAGAAAAATATGCTCACTGTTAAACATGACTCTACCTTGGATTTCACAATGCCGTTCAAATTCATCTCCAGCTGCCTGCCGGCTCCTGAGAGCCTCATTTCTTGTGATGTTTCCGCACCACTTGCTATGCAGAGCATGTGTTGAAATGGTTTTGAGTTTCACATTTCTCTCTTTCTCGTCTGTCTTTCCCTCCCTCCCCAAAACAGAGAGGCTTCAAACAGCGATCAGTCTTTCTGACAACTCCATGCATTGGCTGGGCACCCATCTGCTCCCACCTGCCCTCGCTCCTGGGGCTGAGGCCACTGGGAGAGCTGGGCCTCTGTCCGCTTGGCCTCACACCCTCCTGGAGGCTGGCCCAGGCGTGTGTTCATGGCAGCTCAGATCCGAAGTCGCAGCACTTTCTAGGACTCAGCTCACGTCCTGTTGGCCAACGTGCCGTTGGCCAAAGTGAGCCACATGACGAGGCCCAGCTTTACCAAGCAGAAAAGTAGCCTCCACTTCGAGAAAAGAGCAGGGGAGGGGTACCTGGGTGGCTCAGTCAGTTAAGTGTCTGACTTCAGTTCGGGTCACGATCTCATGGTTCGTGGGTTGGAGCCCCGCGTTGGGCTCTGTGCTGACAGCTCGGAGCCTGGAGCCTGCTTTGGATTCTGTGTGTGTGTGTGTGTGTGTGTGTGTGTGTGTGTGTGCGCGTGTGCACGCGCGTGCGTGCGTGCCTGGAGCCTGCTTTGGATTCTGTGTGTGTGTGTGTGTCTGCCCCTCCTCACTCATACTCTGTATCTATCTCTCAAAAATGAATAAATGTTAAAAAAATTTTTTAAAAAGGTGACATGTGCAAACGCAGGTCCCATTGGAGAAAAATATTTACCACATTTTACATAAACGCACATATGTAGGGAGCTGTATGGAAAGGGAAATTTTTCCCAAAGTGGGAACTAGACCTTCTTCCCTTCTTTCCCTCCCTCCCTCCTTCTATTCCTTTCTTCATTCTTCTCTCCCTTCTTCCTTCTTTCCTTTTAATATTGATTTTATAGTGTTTTGTTTCTGTTTCTTATATTCTTATACAGGTAAGCCGTTTGTTCAGTGTGTGAGCTCTACAGTGTTTTGCTGACAATCACATTGCTCTGTTAATCAAGGAAGAGACTAGAAGCTGTACCAGCCGGTCCTACTTCTCTGTGGCCTAACCTATGATTTTATGATTTTTTTGCTTCCAAAGGCACAGCACTGAAAGCAACAGCTGTGTCAGTCAAGAAGGAATCAGAAGATCCTAATTACTATCCATATAATGTGCAAGGTAATCCCATTTTATTTTAATTTTCTTTTCCAAATGTTTGTGATAGAAAATTTTTTTGTTGTCGTACTTTTTAAAAGCAATTTATTTTGAGAGAGGGGGGACATAGAGAGCGAGCAGGGGAGGGGCAGAGGAAGAGGGGAGACACTGGTCCCAAGCCGGCTCTGAGCTGTCACGCAGAGCCAGATGTCAGGCTCGAACTCGCAACCACGAGATCATGACCTGAGCCGAAATCAAGAGTCAGATGCTCAACTGACTGAGCCACCCAGACGCCCCTGAGATGGAAAATTTTAATTAGCCCCCTTCTGAAAAACAGGCTGAAGCAATATGTTTACTAGGATCTAGCATACTGCCATTTAAAGTAGAGCAGTTTACAGTTATGAAATGGCATTCAGCCTAAATCCACATGCTTCAAGGCAAATATGAAGGTAGAGGTATTCCGGTGCATTTTACCTGAGTTTGTTGAGCACTCTTATCTTTTGTGTTCCAAAATACTTCCCCCAACCCTCTCCTGTCCTGTGTGTCCCCTAAGTTACCAAGAAAATATCAAAAGATCAAATAATTCAGGTACCCCTTCTTAATATTTGCTTCGTTGATGTCGTACAAGTTAAACAGGGAGCAGCAGATGCTGACTAGCGGCACAGGTGGGTGGTCTGTGCCCTCGCCTGGCTTGGTCCTCTCCCCAGAGACCAGACCCCTGCTGGACCCCAGCACAGTACCAGTTTGATGGCATGGTGTTGTGGGGGATGGTTCTAATTCCTCAAACATGACCAGGTTTGAAGTGCTTCTTACAAAGTCTTAATTTTGAAACTTTCCTGCAATATTACAGAGCCCTGCAACTTAGAAGGTTTTTCGGGGTGCTGGGTGGCTCAATCAGTTGAATGACCCACTCTTGGTTTTGACTCAGGTCATGATCTCAACAGTTTGTGAGTTAGAGCCCCATGTTGGGCTCTGTGCTGACAGAGTGGAGCCTCCTTGGGGTTCTCTCTCTCTGTCTCTCTCTTAAAATAAATAAATAAACTACTTTTTTCGAAAACTCTGAAGACCGGTGAAAGTGTCCATTGTCGCGGCACCTGGGTGGCTCAGTTGACTGAGTGTCTGACTTTGGCTCAGGTCCCAACCTTACGATTCATGTGTTTGAGCCCCGCATCGGGCTCTGTGCTGACAGCTCGGAGCTTGGAGCCTGCTTCAGATTCTGTGTCTCCCTCTCTCTCTGCCCCTCCCACGCTCAGGTTCTGTCTCTCCCCAAAATAAGTAAACGTCAAAAGAAATTTTTTTTTTAATGTTTTTTATTTATTTCTAGGAGAGAGAGAGAGAGAGACAGCGTGAGCAGGGGAGGGTCAGAGAGAGAGGGAGTCACAGACTGAAACAGGCTCCAGGCTCTGAGCTGGCAGTCAGCGCAGAGCCCGACGCGGGGCTCGAACCCACGAACCGCAAGATCATGACCTGAGCGAAAGTCGGACGCTTAACCGACTAAGCCACCCGGGCGCCCCAAAAGAAATTTTTAAAAAAGGAAGTGTCCATTGTCATTGCTCAGTCCTGGGCCAGTCCCCCCCCCCCCCCCCCACAGCTGGCCTGCTGCAGTCCCCAACCATTTCCAACCCATCCTACCCCTGGGCCTCCACTCATTTATTCTCTGAGAACGGGGTCTGCCACTTCCCTCCCCCGCCCACACGTCATCTCTGGCTCCTCATCGCCGGAAGAGCCCCAGTTCCCCGCAGTCACCCTCCCTCGGCTCTTCAGATGCAGCGCTCCATCTGATTCTGTAAACATGCCCCGAATTCTCCTCCCATCCAGCGTGTATGTGGGCCGGTCCCTACATGTGCTTCCGTTCTGGCTCTGCAGACTTCTGGCAAGTTCCACCCTCTTTCTGGGTATAGTCAGAGCCTCAAGTCCAGCAGGGAGCCCCCAGCTCCCGAACCACAGGGAGCACCTAGTGTGGCCTGCCTGTGTTCTGTTTATGCTCTTGATGGGGACAGTCCCAGCCAGTGGCCAGCTCCTGGTGGGGAGACACAGCATCTCATCCCAGCCCTGAGCCCCAGCGCCCCGAGCTCAGGGCTTTGCACGCATAGGCACTCACATGTGCTTGCTGAACTGAGGGTGTTGCCTCTGTTTCTAAGTCACTCATGTTTTTTTATTTTATTTTATTTTATTTTTATTTTATTTTATTTTATTTTATTTTTTTATTTTTAAAGACACACATATATATATGTGTGTGTGTGTGTGTGTGTGTGTGTGTGTTTGTGTGTTTATAAATATATATATATATATATATTTTTTTTTTTTTTTTTGAGAAGAAGAGCATGCATGTGCCCATGCGAATGGGGGAGGGACAGAGGGAAAGAGAGAGAATTCTAAGCAGACTCCAGACTTAGCACAAAGTCCGACAGGGGCTTAGTCCTACAACCCCAGGATCATGACCTGAGCCAAAATCAAGAGTCAGACACTAAGCCAACTGAAGCCCCCAAATCACTCCCATTTTGGGAAAACTGCATGTAATTACATCTTGACTCCCAGGAACATATTTTTCAACTGAAATGATCCTGGCAGTTTATCAAAATGTGTACAGTCAGGAATATAAGATACTTAAAGATTCTGCTCCCACAGGCAGCAGGGAAATAAACGATTAGGTAGATGTACCTACAATCATTCCATTTCACTTTTTCAGAAAGCAGCACATTATTTGAAGAAGAACATTTACATTGAATGTATAATTTGTAATCTTTCTCCTGCTTGGTTTGGAAACAACAGAACTATCCAAGAGATCTTTTTTTGTACAAAAGCTCCTTAAGTTGGGTCCCTTCCTTCTTGATGCCAAAAGGGTTAAAATCAACTGACATCATGGACTGTATTCCATAGTTGAATGATTTTGCAACCATTTAGGTAAAGTACTCACATGTTGAAGTACTGAGGTCTTTATGTATCTTTTAAGTAAAGGAGAAATGTTTCAATCCATAAAGACAACAGATGTGACCTGCTCAGAATGGCAAATGTCTGCTGTGGCCCCACTGGGGCCCAGGAGCTTGGGCAAGGTTTATACGAGAGTCTGACTCCCCACCCCACCCCACCCACCCCGGACCTCACACTCCATCTGCGGCTCAGACCTCTCAGAAGACCCCCAGCACATATACGACTTGGCCGTCATGGAGGCCATGAGGTCCTGGAAGTTCTTCCCCGTGGGCAGGGACCCCCATCTCCACAGCTCCTCGAAGTGTAGAATGCACACGACAAGCTTTGCTGAGGTGCACTGTGCCCAGGCTCCCCAACGTTGAGAGTATCCACACCATTTGGTTTTTCCCCCCGACTGACACTGAATGTTTTGGGGGAGGAGCCTTCCAGGCAGAGGGAAAATGGACACAAAAGCCCAAGATCAAGGAATTAACGTCTTTTCCACATCACATCACTCTTGACTCCTGTGCTTCCCCATTCCCCCTCTGATTACTCTGAACCCTGCAGGATAATGCAGAATACTTTCATTTTCTGAAGGTCAGCTCACAAACAAACTTGATTCCATCTACAACCTTAAGAGCCTCTTGCCATGTTTCATAATAGATTCACAGGTTTGGGGTGTCTGTGTGGGGGCAGCCATCTGCCGACCACAGGTACCGAAAATTAAACACCAGCATTAACCTAGATGAAATGGACAAACTACTGAAACTGATCAGAGAGAAAACACAGAATGTGAATGGTCATAAAAGGAAAGCGAATTAGTCATCAAAAAATTTCCCACAAATGATGGGGCGCCTGGGTGGCTTAGTCGGTTGAGCGTCCGACTTTCGCTTAGGTCATGATCTCGCGGTTCGTGGGTTCGAGCCTCGTGTCGGGCTCTGTGCTGACTGCCAGCTCAGAGCCTGGAGCCTGTTTCAGTCTGTGACTCCCTCTCTCTCTGACCCTCCCCTGCTCACGCTGCCTCTCTCTCTCTCTCCTAGAAATAAATAAAACATTTAAAAAAAAAAAAATTTCCCACAAATGAAAGCTCAGGACCAGATGACTTCACTTGTGAATTCTACCAAGTGTTTAAAGAAAAGTTAACACCAGTTCTTCACACACTCACCCAAAAAGTAAAAAAGGAGAGAAAGCTTCCCAGCTATTACCCTGATCCCCAAACCAGACAAGAAACAACAGAAGAACAGGAAACTAGAGACCACTATCCCTTATTAATATCCATACAAAAATCCCCAACAAAATACTAGCAAATGAGTCCAACAACATATAAAAAGGGTTCTACATCATGCCCAAGTGGGATTTATCCTAGGAATGCAAGGCTAGTTCAACATATGGAAATCAATCAGTAGAATACAACATAGTGGAATAAAGGACAAAGCCACATTACTATTCAAACAGATATAGGAAAAAAGGCATTGGACAAAATTTATATAATGAAAACAGCAAACTAGTAGTTGAAGGGAACTTCTTAGCCTAATAAAGAGCATCAACAAAACCCTACAGCTAACATCCTGCTTAACCAAAAGCTTTGCCGAAAGAAAGGATGATTATTCCTGCCACTTTCTTTTCAACAATAGGTACTAGAGGTTCTAGGCAAGACAATTAGGTAAGAAAAAGAAAATGGCATCCGAATTGGAAAGGAAGAGATTAAAACTGTTATTTCTTTTTCTTCCTCCCTCCCTCTCTCTCTCTCTCTCTCTCTCTTTGAGAGAGCATAAGAGGGAGAGAGAGGCAGAGGAGGAGAGAGAGAGAATCTTAAGCAGACTCCACACTCTGCATGGATCCCAACACAGGGTTCAACCTCACAAACTGGGATCATGACCTGAGCCAAAATCAAGAGTCAGACACTTAACCAACTGAGCCACCCAGGCACCCCTAAAACGATTTCTATTTAGAGATGACATGATTTGTGTTTAGAAAATTCTAAGGAGTACATACACACACTTATTAGAACTAATAAATGAGGTTAGCAAAGTTGCAGGATACAAGGTCATCATACAGAAATCAGTTGTATTTTTATATGTAGGAAATGAATAATCAAAAATGAAATTAAGGGACACCTGGCTGGCTCAGTTGGTAGAGCATGTGATTTTTGGTTATGAGTTTGAGCCCTATGTTGGCAGTAGAGTTTACTTTAAAGACATGAAATTAAAATTCCATTTACAATAGCATTAAAAGTACTTTAAAAAATAGACTACTTAATAATTTTAACCAAAGAATTGCAAGCCTTGTGCGCTGAAAACTTTTATAAAACATTGTTTAACAAATTAAAGGAGACCTGAATAAATGGAAAGATATTCTGTGTTGATGGATTGGAAGACTTTCTGAAGATTCATATGGAAATTCAAGGAACCCAGAATAGCCAAAACAATCTTGAAAAAGAACAGAGTCAGAAGACCCACATTTCCTGATTTCAAAACCTACTACAAAGCTACAGTTAACTGTGGTCCTGGCATAAGGATAGACAGTGGATGTTCGATGGAGTAGATTTGAGAGTCCAGAAAATCAGCCTTTATAGTTAGTTGATTTTCAACAAGGGTGCCAAAACAATTCATTGGGGAAAGAATAGTCTTTTCAAAAAATGGTACTAGAATAGCCAGATTTCTACATACAGAAAGATCTATTTGGATGTCTACCTCACACCATATACAAAAATTTAACTCAAAATGGATCAAAGACCTAAATGTAAGAGTGGAAAACTCTCATGCACTTGGAACTCATAGACACAGATGTTTTTGACCTTGGATTAGACAGTAGTTTCTTAGAACAGCCAAAGAAAAAATACATTAAACTTCATTAAAATTAATAACTGGTGCTTCAAAGAACACTATTAAAAAACTAAAAAGACCACCCCCAGAATTAGAGGAAATATTTGCAAGTTATATGTTGGGTGAGGATCTCATATACAGAATAAGAACTATTTTAACTGAACAACAAAAACACAAACACACTATTTAAAAATGGGCAAATGGGGGTGCTGGCTGGCTCAGTCAGTGGAGCATGTGACTCTTGATCACGGGGTTGTGAGTTCAAGCCCCACACTGAGTATAGAGATTACTTAAAATCTTTAGGGGCCCCTGGGTGGCTCAGTCAGTTAAGCATCTGACTTTGGCTCAGGTCATGATCTCAAGGTGCGTGAGTTCGAGCCCCGTGTCGGGCTTAGAGCCTAGAGCCTGCTTCAGATTCTGTGCCTCTCTCTCTCTCTCTCTCTGTCTCACTCTGCCCCTCCCCCACTCTCACTCTTATCTCTCTCAAAAACATAAATAAACATCAAAAAAAAAAAAGCTCTGGAGATCCCATAGTGGGGAAAGGGAAAATGGGGGGCACAGAAAACCAGGATACAGAGTTGTTGACCATTGGCATGAGGGAAGGACACATCTCTGTTTTTGTAGGCTTGAAACTTCTCGAAAGTGCAGATAAAACAACAAAAACATAAAGGATCATTTGTGTGAATTTTTTTTCAAGGAGTCGAAGTATTTTTCATGCACATTCCTGTGTGGGCCCTGAACTGCTTGCATCATTTTAAATGGGTTCTTGTTTCGGGAACCTGGGTGGCTCAGTAGCTTAAGCGTTTAACTCTTGGTTTTGGCTCAGGTAACGATCTCACGGTTCATGAGTTCGAGCCCCGTGTTGGTTTCTGTGCTGACACTGTGGAGCCTGCTTGTGATTCCATTTCTCCCTCTCTCTGCCCCTCCGTCACTTGCACTGTCTCTGTCTCTCTCAAAATACATAAATTTAAAAAAAATTTTTATTACTTAAAATAAATGGATTCTTGTTTACATTTTGTATTTCACCCGTTTTAAATATTCGTATCGTTTGCTTCCCTTTCAGAAAGCCATAATCCTTCTGGGAGCAGTGAAGTAATAGACATGGAATTACCGATGGAAGGTGAGAAAAGCCAGGCATTTTATCCTTTTTTTTTTTTTTGGTTTTGGTTTAGTTTACAGTATTTTGCAGAGAACACAGTCTTTTAAATACCTATGACACGTGTTTGAAACGAAGGCAGCTTCCTGGCATGCCTTCTTAGAAACCCAGGTGAGCCTTGGCCCTAACATGTGGCACTGGGAACCCTAGCACTCTCTTCCTTCTCCGATCTGTAAGACATTCTGCTTAAAGCACCTGGACTAGAGGGTGTGTGGTAAGAAAACTTTACACCTGTGCCATTTGTTGTATTCCATTTTGTCTTCTTGAATGGGCATACCGAAATTCTTTTTTTTTTTAATGTTTATTTATTTTTTGAGAAACAGAGAGAGACTGAGCATGAGCAGGGGAGGGGCAGACAGAGAAGGAGACACAGAATCTGAAGCAGCGTCCAGGCTCCAAGCGGTCAGAACAGAGCCCGGCACAGGGCTCGAACTCATGAACTGCAAGATCATGGCTTGAGCCAAAGTTGGACACTCAACCGACTGAGTCACCCAGGCACCCCAATTTTTTTAATGTTTATTTATTTATTTTTGAGAGAGAACATGTGAGCAGGGAAGGGGCAGAGGGAGAAGGAGACACAGAATCCAAAGCAGGCCCCAGGCTCTGAGCCGTCAGCACAGAGCCCGACGTGGGGCTTGAACCCATGAAGTATCAGATCGTGACCTGAGCTGAAGGTGGACACTTAACCAACTGAATCACCCAGGCGCCCCTATTTATTTATTTTTGACGGTAGTTATGCAGAGAGAGAGAGGGAGAGAGAGAATCCCAAGCAGGCACAGGGCTGGAATCCATGAACGGCGACATCATGACCTGAGCTGAAATCAAGAGTTGGACACCTGACTGAGCCACCCAGGCACCCCTGTGGTCATTTTTAATAGCTTCTGTGATTTGGAGGCACTTGAAGTCTTTATCACGGGGGACGATTCCAGTGGTCCCTGAACATTGTTCAATTCTCTGACCTTAAAAAGCGTTGATAGATTTTGCCAGAGGACACACAGCATTGTAGTCTTAGAATTGTTCTTTTCATTCACGGAATCAATCATCTTGAGCTTAATTGCTTTAAACCAAGAAGACAAGGCCATTCTGTCATTATTCAGCTCCTGTTCACTTTTCTGAATTATACATTTCTTGTTATGGTAACAAGTATGTAAAATTCACCGAGTGTGTGGCTCAGTTGTGTTAAGTGTGTTCGCATTGCTGCGAAACAGGCCTCTGGAACTCTAGTAGATCTGTCCCCACAGTCCCCGGTCCACCTGACGTCTCTGTGAGTCTGACCGCTCTGGGTGCCTCTTGTGAGTGGAATCACAGTGGACTGTGTTTGTTTGTTGGTGACCGGCTTATGTCATTCGATTTAACGCCCCCAGGGGCTCACCCGTGTCATAGCGTGTAAGGACAGGATCCTGCCATTTACTTTTCGTTTCTGACTCCTCAGCTCCTTCTCTGCCCTTTCTGGATGTTGGAGACGACAATTCTTGCAAATTCAGTTTCAGTGTGTTCCTCCCTGACATCATTTTCTTTCCCTTTGGGGAAGCCCATTAAGACATTGGGGGCACCTGGGCAACTCAGTCGAATAATCGTCCGATGTGGCTCAGGTCAAGATTTCACAGTATGTGAGTTCGAGCCCCAAGTCAGGCTCTGTGCTGACAGCTCAGAGCCTGGAGCCTGCTTAAGATTCTGTGTGTGTGTGTGTGTGTGTGTGTGTGTGTGCGCGCGCGCGCGTGCGTGTATCTCAAAAAAAATGAACAAATGTTAAAAATTTAAAAAAAAAAGGGAAGAAAGAGGAACACCTACATGGGAACCCGCATAGAACTAGTATGGAGTGAGAGTCAGAAAGATGTCACTGGATGGTGGTCTTTGAATACTTTGTTTTTGAGGAGATTCTTTTTTTAAGAATTTTTTTTTCTAGTAATGTCTTCACCTAACATGGGGCTTGAACTCACAACCCCGAGATCAAAAGTTGAACGCTCTACTGACTGAGCCAGCCAGCAACCCCAAGAGATTTTTTATTATTAGAGAACAGCAGAAAACCCACTTATGACAAAGCTGGGTCCGTTTGATTTTTTTTTTTCTTTAACTTTTTAACTAGAGATTCACAAAAAGCTGCACGAACAGTCAAGGAGGTGTGGTGTGCCTTCACCCACTTCCCACAACATTAATGTTCTATTACAATAGTCCACTATCCAGGGGCGCCTGGGTGGCTTAGTCGGTTAAGCATCCGACTTTCGCTTGGGTCATGATCTCGCGGTTCGTGGGTTCAAGCCCCGCGTCAGGCTCTGTGCTGACTGCCAGCTCAGAGCCTGGAGCCTGTTTCAGTCTGTGACTCCCTCTCTCTCTGACCCTCCCCTGCTCACACTGTCTCTCTCTCCTAGAAATAAATAAAAAAACATTAAAAAAAAATTAAAAAAAAAAAAAACAATAGTCCACTATCCAAGTAGCTAATTGGTTTTGAGCCTTTCTCCCTCACAAACAATTAATGGAAGCTTTCTTTTTTTTTTTTTTTAATGTTTTATTTATTTCTAGGAGAGAGAGAGAGAGACAGCGTGAGCAGGGGAGGGTCAGAGAGAGAGGGAGTCACAGACTCTGAAACAGGCTCTAGGCTCTGAGCTGGCAGTCAGCACAGAGCCCGACGCAGGGCCTGAACCCACGAACCGCGAGATCATGACCTAAGCGAAAGTCGGACGCTTAACCGACTAAGCCACCCAGGCGCCCCTAATGGAAGCTTTCTAAAATGAGCCAGAGTTGGGGGAGATCGTCCAGCCAGGCTTCTGTCTGTACGTCGAACTTCACAGGTGTGTCGTAATTCTCGCAAACCAGAAATATCAGTTGTGCCTCCATGTCCTAACAGACTGAGTCCTGGGGGCCCCAGAGCACAGGGCTTTATTTTATCCCCATGATTCCTGATAACAAGGAAACACTATGACCACAGGAATTCCATTAGATGGTTGGATATTCTGTGTCCGCTGGCGTGGGTGAGTGGGTGTTGTGTTAGAATATCCACAAGTTTCTTCTCTCCCCTTATCCCTTATAAGGTTATCCTTTCTTACCCTGTGATCCCTTTTAAAGTTAAAATTACAGGGGCGCCTGAGTGACTCAGTTGGTTGAGTGTACGACTTTGGCTCGGGTCATGATCTCGCAGTTGATGAGTTCAAACCCTATGTTGGGCTCTGTGCTGACAGCTCAGAGCCTGGAGCCTGCTTCAGATTCTGTGTCTCCCTCTCCCTCTGCCCCTCCCCTGCTCATGCTCTGTCTCTCTCTGTCTCAAAAATAAAATAAACATTAAAAAATTTTTAAAGAATTTTTTATTAAAAATTTAAAAATTAAAAAAATTTTACTAAAATGAAAATAAAATTAAAATTACCTTCAGGGGCGCCTGTGTGACTCAGTCAGTTAAGCATCCAACTCTTGATTTTGGCTCAGGTCATGACCTCATGGTTCATGAGTTCAAGCCCTGCATCAGGCTCTGCCTAGCAGCACAGAGCCTGCTTGTGATTCTCTCTCTCTCCCTCTCTTCTTCCCCAATTGTGCTCCCTCTCTCTCAGTAAGTAAATAAATAAACTTTAAAAATGCCTTCAGGTTTAAGGGCGCCCAGCTGCATGCGGCCCTTGATCTCAGGGTAGGGAGTTCGAGCCCCACAGTGGGTGTAGAGATAACTAAAAAAATAAAAAATAATAAATAAACATTTTTTTAAAAATTACTTTCATGTTTATACTCTCTGTGTGTTAAGTATGACACGTGTCTAAAATGCCAAGAGAATGGGGCGCCTGGGTGGCTTAGTCGGTTAAGCGTCCGACTTTCACTTAGGTCATGAACTTGCGGTTTGTGGGTTCGAGCCCCGCGTCGGGCTCTGTGCTGACTGCCAGCTCAGAGCCTGGAGCCTGTTTCAGTCTGTCACTCCCTCTCTCTCTGACCCTCCCCTGCTCACGCGGTCTCTCTCTCTCTCTCTCCTAGAAATAAATAAAACATAAAATAAAATAAAATAAAATGCCGAGAGAAGCTACTCTTTGGGTAGAGGAGCAGTAGAAGGTTGGGACGTGAGATTACATAATAACAAATGTCATTTTAGACTTTTTTTTTTTCAAGATTCCACTCCACTTGCCCCTTCAGACGCATGTGAGGACCCCGAAGCTGAGGTGAAAATTGAAGGTCAGTTTCCAGAACCCTACTGCTGAGTGTGGTGTTCATCCGTCCCTGAAGGGGTTATTGTGGGGGAAAGATGGACACTGGCATGGGGGGGTGAGGGGGGTGTGGGAGGCGTGGAGGTGTCTGTGTTTATGGCTGTGTGTGTCTGTGTATTAGTGTGTGTGTATGTGGGGGGTGGAGGGGTGTGTGTGTGCGTGTGTGTGTTTTACGCCATGCAAATCAGCACCAGACTCTGCTCTGTCCCGAGTGAGCAAAGAGAGAAGGGGGATGGGCAGGGAGGGCTGCACATCCCTCGGAAAACGCACCCTCTCCTCTGCTAGACAGATAAAGAGTTCTCGGATGACTACTGATCGGGCCTGGAAATAGTCAACTCTGTTTGACTGCAAGTATCCAAAGGAAGTCAAGTTCAAAGTGTGGTTTTAAAGAGATTTATGTTTTAAGCTCCACCACGTAAGATAATTTTCTTTCAAAGATTTACAAACTGACACATAATCTCTTCGGGTTTTGTTCAGATGTCTGTTTAGAAACCACATCCAAGGGGCGCCTGGGTGGCTCAGTCAGTTGAGTGTCTGACTGTTGGTTTCCGCTCAGGTCATGATCTCACCGTCCCTGAGTTTGAGCCCCTCCCTCTTTCTTTTTTTTCCCCCTTTGCTTGTTTTTTTTGTTTCTTATGTTCCACATATGCGTGAAATCATATGGTATGTGTCTTTCTCTGACTTACTGCACTTAGCATTATACTCTCTAGTCCATCCATGTTGTGGCAAATGGCAAGGTTTTTTTTTTTATATATTTATTTATTTGGGGGAGAGTGCAAGTGGCGGAGGGGCAGAGAGAGGGGGACAGAGGATCTGAAGCAGACTCTCTACTGACAGCACAAAGCCTGATGTGGAGATCAAACTCACAAACTGCGAGATCATGACCTGAGCTGAATTCAAATGCTCAACCAGCTGAACCATCTAGGTGCCCCAAGATTTCATTCTTTTCTTTACGGCTGAATAATATCCCATTGTATGTATACACCATGTCTTCTTTATCCATTCCTCTATGGATGGACACCGGCTGCTTCCATAATTTGGCTATTATAGATAAGGCTGCAATAAACATCGGGGTACATGTATCCCTTTGAATTTAGCGTTTTTGTGTTTTGGGGGAAAATACCCACTAGTATGACTACCGAATTGTAGGGTAGTTCTATTTTTCATTTTTAAGGAACCTCCATACTGTTTTCCACAGTGGCTGCACCAGTTTGCATCCCCACCAACAGGGCAAGAGGGCTCCTTTTTCTCCACGTTCTCGCCAACACTTGTTTCTCTTATGTTATTGACTTTAGCCATTCTGACGGGTATGAGGTGGCATCTCATTGTAGTTTTGATTGCATTTCCCCTGTTGATGAGTGACGCTGAGCTTTTCATGTGTCTGTCGCCCATCTGGATGTCTTCTTTGGAGAAACGTCTGTCCACGTCTTCTGCCTGTTTTAATTGGATTATTTATTTTTTGGGTGTAGAGTTGTATCAGTTCATCATATATTTTGGATACCAAACATTTATTGGGTACGTCATCTGCAAATATCTTCTCCCCATTCCGTAGCTTATCTTTTAGTTCTGTTGTTTTCTTCACTGTGTAGAAGCTTTATGTTTTTATGTAGTCCTGATAGTTTACTTTTGCTTTTATTTCCCTTGCCTCAGGAGACATTTCTAGAGAAATGTTGCTATAGCCGATGTCAGAGAAATTACTGCCTTGCCCTCTTCAAGGATTTTTATGGTTTCAGGTCTCACATTTAAGTCTTTTATCCATTTTTTTAATTTCGGGGTATGCTGTAAGAAAGTGGCCCCGTGTCAGTCTTTTGCATGTTGCTGTCCAGTTTTTCCAACACCACTTGTTGAAGAGACTGTCTTTTTCCCATCATATATTCTTTCCTCCTTTGTTGAAGATGAATTGACCATATAATTGTGGGTTTACTTCTGGGTTTTCTGTTCTATTCTGTTGATCTATGTGTCTGTTTTTATGCCAGCCCCACACTGTTTTAATTACTACTGCTTTGTAATATAACTTGAACTCTGGAATTGTGATGCCTCCAGCTTTGATTTTTTTTTCAGCATTGCTATTCAAGGTCTTTTATGGGTTCCATACAAACCCTAGGATTGTTCTAGTTCAGTGAAAAATGCTGTTGGTAGAGATTGGATTGGTTTTGGTAGGGATTGCATTGAATCTGTAGATTGCTTTGGGTACTATGGTCATTTTAACAATATTTGTTCTTCCAACCCATAAGCATGGAATGTCTTTCCATTTCTTTGTGTCATCTTGAAATTTTTTCCTTGGTACTTTATAGTTTTCAGAATACAGGTATTTTCACCTCTTTAGCTAAGTTTATTCCTAGATACTTTATTGTTCTGGGTGCAGTTGTAAGTAGAATTATTTTCTTAATTTCACTTTCTGCTTCTGCATTATTAGTATACAGAAATGCAACAGATTTCTGTGTGTTGGTTTTGTATCCTGCGACCTTAGTGAATTCATTTATCCATCCTGGTAGTTTTTTGGTGGTGTCCATGGGGTTTTCTGAAGACAGTATTGTGTCATCTGCAAATAGTGAGAGGTTTATTTCTTCTTACCAGTTTGGATGCCTTTTATTTCTTTGTGTTGTCACATTGCTTGGGAGTCCTTTTTATTTAGAGATAATATTATGTCCCGTGAAATGCCACAAGGTCTGAGTTGATTGGGCCACAATTAGGGGAATTTTGATTTGAATGAATGCTCCCACCTGAACTTGATTCTTCCATTTGTACTTCATGTATTTGAATCCTAAAAATGGTCTCATCAAGTTAATTGTGTTGGGGGAAACTCCCTCTCGTCACTATTTTTTTTTAAATGTTTTGTTTGTTTTTGAGAGAGAGAGAGAGACAGCATGAGCAGGGGAGGGTCAGAGAGAGAGGGAGACACAGAATCTGAAGCAGGCTCCAGGCTCCGAGCTGTCAGCACAGAGCCCAACACGGGGCTCAAACCCACAAACTGTGAGATCATGACCTGAGCCGAAGTTGGACACTTAACCGACTGAGCCACCCAGGCACCCCATCACTATTTCTTTTTTAAAGTTTATTTTATTTTGAGAGAGAGTGTGTGTGCACGAATTGGGGAAGGGCAGAGAGAGACGGAGGTAGAGAATCCCAAGCAGACTCCATGCCATCAGCGCAGAGCCTGATGCAGGCTCGACCTCACGTACTTCGAGACCATGACCTGAGCCAAAATCAAGAGTCAGCCACTCAACCATCTGAGCCACCCAGGCATCCCTCATCACAGCTTATAACAGAGAAAAAATGGGTGCGGATTAAGTGCCCAGCAATTAGAGAAAGGGTTGTGGCCATCCGCTGGGAAAGATGCTCATGGCCACTCAGACAAAGCTATCTGGCTCAAGGTAAGTTAGAAACAAAACAGATGGAGACTCAAGTCCTAATTTACAGCAGGATCTCAATTTTATTTAGAACGAAATGTTATATAGAAAGAGAGACCTTAGGAGAAAATACAAAAAAAAAAAAAAGAAAGAAAGCAAAACCATAGCAACCAGATTTGGAATTACATGTGATTCTACTTCCTTTTTCCTTTCACCGGTTCCCCCTCTCCACAGGAAGTGTAGATTCCTTAAGAATTAGGGGGAAAGTCAGGTCTTGACTGGGGACCACTTCTCTGCGGGGTGTTAGCCGTGACGGCTCTATTAGAAATTGTGTGGCGACACCATCAGGGTAACTGGACTCAGAGGAGATGCTTCCTGTCCGGGAACTATATCCCCGAGCCACAGCCAGCAGGGTAGATGGATTTTCCCTTAGACAGTAGATTCGTGCTGATTCACTCATACCTGAAGTTGGTGGGGCCAGAGTGGGTTTAAACATTATATTTACAGGGACACCTGTGGCTCAGTCGGTTAAGCGTCCGACTTCGGCTCAGGTCCTGATCTCACGATTCTTGGGTTCGAGACCCACGTCGGGCTTTGTGCTGACAGCCAGCTCAGAGCCTGGAGCCTGTTTTCGGATTCTGTGCCTCCCTCTCTCTCTGACCCTCTCTTGCTCATGTTGTCTCACTCTCTCTCTCAGAAATAAATAAAATATTAGAAAAAAAAGTTTTTAATAAATAAATAAACATGATATTTACATTGCCCAATTTCAGAGCCATCACAGGGCCTCAGTGTGGCTTCCAGTATCCCCCATTCTGAGCCATACGGTGAGGGCTTTTTTTCCCCTTAAAACCCCACAAAAGGAACCCCTGAAATTACCTTAAATGCTCTTTATTGTGGTGAAACTAATATTACATAAAATTAACCATTTTATAATAAACGATTCTAAATGTAGTACATTCCGTAACGTGTAGTACATGCGCGGTATGGGCAACCACCACCTCCTCTCTTGACTTCCAAGCATGTTTGTGTCCCCGGGAGGAAACCAGTACCCGTTACCGTCCTCCCCATTCTTTCCTCCCCCGGTCAGGGTCATCCACCAATCTATTCTGTCTCTGGATTTACCTGTTCTAATAAGTTCATACGGCTGGGAGTGCACAGCGTTTGACCCTTGGGGCCTGGCTTCTTTCACTTAAAATCTCCAACGTTCGGGGTACTTGTTGGCTCTGTCGATTGAGTATCTGACTTCGGCTCAGGTCATGATCTCATGGTTCATGAGTTCAAGCCCCGCATCGGGCCTGCTGCTGTCAGCACAGAGCCTACTCTGGATCCTCTGTCCCCCTTTCTCTCTGTCCCTCCCCTACACACATGCTCACTAACATTTTAAATATTTTTTTTAATCTCCAAAGTTCATCCATGTTGCAGCTTATGACAGAACTCCCTCCCTTTTTCAGGCTGAATAATGTTCCACCGTTTATGTACATCATGGTTTATCTGTTCTCCCATCAATGGATGTTGGGTTTGTTCCCTCAAAGTACTTTTAAGAATAGAACATAGAGGTGTCTGGGTGGCTCAGTGGTTGAGCGTCTTGCTCTTGATTTTAGCTCAGATCATGATCTCATGGTTCATGGGTTCAAGCCCCACATTGGGCTCCATGGTGTCAGTACAGAGCCTGCTTGGGATTCTCTCTTTACCTCTCTCTCTGCCCTTCCCCTGCTTGTTATCTCTCTCCCTCTCTCCCTTTCTCTCTCAAAATAAACATTTTTTAAAAATATAACATAGCAGAACATACAGAGTTGTCGACTCACTGTGTTGTACACCTGAAACTGACTCTGTGTGTCAACTCTCCTTCAATTAAAAAAGGAAACGGAGTCGCCTGGCTGGCTCGGAAGAGGACGGGACTCTTGGTCTCAGCTTCATGAGCTGGAGCCCACATTGGGTGTAGAGTGTATTTTTAAATAAATAAGCTTCTGTTATTTTTATTAATGTTTATTTTTGAGGGAGAGAGCAAGAGCGAACAGGGGAGGGTCAGAGAGAGAGGGAGACAAGGATCTGAAGCAGGCTTCAGGCTCCGAGCTGTCAGCACAGAGCCTGATGTGGGGCTTGAACCCACGAACCGAACCATGAGATCATGCCCTGAGCTGACGTCAGATGCTTAACCAGCTAAGCCACCAAGGCGCCCCTGGGTAAGCACTTTTAAACTAACTTACAGTTGAGCAGTCAATTCAGAAAGACTCGTTGTTTATGTACAGTGACAGTTTTAGGAGATTTAAGCTTTACACCCGTTCGTGAAAATACCGTCCATTTATTTGAAATGTGCAGGGCCATGAAAATGAATTAACTGCCATTTATGCATTAATTACAGTTGGATTTTGATTAGTTTTCAAATCGTGCTTGGTGTGTTTTATGACAGATTTTACATTTTGAAGTGTCAGTTGTTTTTTTTTTTTTAAGTTTATTTGGGTTTTTTAAGTAATCTCCATATCCAACGTGAGGCTCGAACCCATGACCCCAAGATCAAGAGTCACATGCTCCTTTGACTGAACCAGCCAGGGGCCCCTGGAGGAATCAGTTTGGAGGATGAAATGTTAGTACTTCATCCAAACATAATGCCTTATCTTCTGGCACTGTCTCTTAATAGATTCTGATGACCCAAATTAGTTCTGGGCTTAATGCAGGCTCGACAGTGTAAAGTGCCCTGTAAGATTTTTTTGTTTGTGTGTTTGTTTGTTTTTTAATTTGAGAGGTGGGAGGTGGCGAGGGAGGGCAGAGAGTGAGAGAGAATCCCAAGCAAGCTCCACACTTAGCATGGAATCCGACACGGGGCTCGATCCCACAACCCCGGGATTGTGACCTGAGCTGAAATCAAGACTCAGCCACTCAACTGACTGAGCCACCCAGGTGCCCCGGGAAGGTTTTTCTTGCTTCAAGTTGATGATGGAAACTGACCGTGGTTTCAGTAAGCTCTTAGTGTTCAACTAGGTTGTTAAGGATCGGGCTTTCAGGACCTACTAGATTTACCAGAAAAATTAGTCATTTTGAGGTCAAGAGTTGCAAACTTTCCCACATTTCCTCCCCAGATTCTGTTTGAAGCAGCCCCGGGACACTGAGGGAGAACCTGAGGGCTTTTGTTGACGATGTGGCTCCTTCTGTCCTTTTGAGGTCTTGCTCTTTACATGCAGAAAACCACGGGGCACCTGGGTGGCTCAGCTGGTTAAGCGTGCAACTTCAGCTCAGGTCATGATTCGTGGTTCGTGAGTTTGAGCCCCACATTGGGCTCTGTGCTGACGGCTCAGAGCCTGGAGCCTGCTTCAGATTCTGTGTCTCCCTCTCTCTCTGCCCCTCCCCTGCTCGCTCGCACTCTCTCTCTCAAAAAATAACGTTACAAAATTAAAATAGATGCAGAAAACTAGATGCCAGATGATTGATCATTCACAGAACACATGGACTGAGCTTTGAATTCTCAAGGGCCCAGAAGCATTCCTTTACATTTTCCACATCCAACTTTGGTTGTCTTTATCGATTGACGAGTAAACGTGACAACGTCCACTCTGTTTTTGCTATTTTAACCCTGTCTGGGCCTTTCCTTGACTGTCTGTGAAATCATTTTTCAGGAGGTGTCTGCTGCTTAAATGTCCTCATGGACATTTATGTGTTCTTTCCTCTCCCCTCCCTTTAAAGTGAATAATAGCAAAGGAAACGCACCTTTATTTTTATTTTTTTTTTAGGAAATACACTTTCAAACATCCCTTTTAGATGAAGTTGTACCGACTGATTCATGAGAGGCTCTGAACTAAATGAAAACAGTTACGCTCTTTCCCCTGTGACCTTGACAGTGAATTGCAGAGACCCAGGTGTCAGTCAGTGCCATGCCACCTTGTTATCCTGCAGCTAATTGTTCTCCAAGGCTTTAAAACTTGAATCTGTGCTCCTGATCAAAGTAGCACCTTGGCATTTTTAGGGGAGAATTGACCTAATTTTCTTCCAGTTCTAAGTTTCTGTTTCTGCTTTTAGGAAGCACCAATTCCTCCAGTATTACAAGTTCTGCGGCAGGTGTTGAAGACCTTAACATCGTTCAGGTGACAATTCCAGGTACGGAAGCTTATCTGGCTTTATCATAATTTACTTTCTATGTTTCCTTTGTTCTATCTTTTTAAATTATGTTTTAACATTTATTTATTTTTGAGAGACATAAAGAGACAGAGCACAAGCCGGGAAGGGGCAGAGAGAGAGAGGGAGACACAGAATCCAAAGCAGGCTCCAGGCTCCACGCTGTCAGCACAGAGCCCGCGATTCAGGGCTAGAACTCACAGACTACAAGGTCATGACCTGAGCTGAAGTCCGACACTTAACCAACTGAGCCACCCAGACACCCTCCTTTTGCTCTGTTTTAACCGTTTTGTGACATGGGTTAGTCCCTTGGAGCTGGTGTTTAGTTATTTATTATATTTTGCTTCACCCTGTCAACTAACGAATGACAATTCATGAATATAAAATACAGATCGTCACGCACTGAATATCTCGCTTATACTGATAGGGAAAATCTGCTGCAAGATGGCCGACAGGACGAATAGGAAACACCTGCCCTGATTGATGACGAATGCAGAAGTAACGGGCTATAAATTGTTCCCTCTGCTGATGGTAGGTGCTCAGACCTCTGGAGAGTGTTCTCCTCTGAGCCCACCCGTGTAGGATAAACCCCCTGCCTTCCAAGCTCTCCGAGTGCCGCTTGGTTCTTCCGCCGGGTGATCCAGACCAGATTCCACATTTGGTTCCCTGACGGGGAAACCCATCCGCGCTGGCCTGTTGTTGCCACCGGTTTGGGAAAATGGTGAGGCGGTGACGGAATGAGGAATGGCGAAGGAGAAGGCGTGCCCTGATTTCGGCCGTCTCCCGATCAGCCACCTCGGGCCGGCCCCGCTCCGCCGTTCCCACTGGACTCGAGGAGACTTGGCAAGTGAGGACCTGGACCCGACGTCGTAACCCGGTAAGGCCTGGGCCCTGAGTCTGTCCTGTCCGGCCCCACCCTTAGGGTGGAAGGGGGAGCCGATCACTCCCCGGAGACCTCAGTGGTCTCATCTGTAGGAATTCTGTGGGAGGGAATGTGATAACCTCTGGTGTGTATGTGGGTGTGACTGTGCCACTCGGTCTGGCTTGCCTGTCGGGTTCAATTCTGTGGCTCCACAGGTGGGGACCCTTAAGGTCCCCAGAAGCCTACAGAGTCTGAGTGGGCCCGTCTGCGATTCATGGTGAACGGCATACAGTCTATGGCGGCATCAGAGTAGTTTCCGATCGTAAGTCACAAAGCTGAGGCCGCTACGGCTAAGCATCACCTAAGTTCCTTCGGGACGCGGTCAGATGGGCATCTGACTGGTCTCCTCAATGAGAGGGGGCACCCCTACCCCTTTGCCTTTGTGACCCTGCCTCATGGGAACATATGGGGCTGGGACAGAGCAAACCCACAGTTCTTGAAATTATGAGAACTTTGAGAAGGGGTTTTTGGGAGACTATGTAATTAAGATGACCCCCAGCAAATTAAGGACCCTAGGTGAGTCGGAATGGCCTACTTTTGGGGTAGGATGGCCCTGGGAGGGAACCTTAGATGTCTCCATGGTCTGCCGCCTCAGGTGCCCAGAGATTACCCTGATTGGTTCCCGTACATCGACTCCTGGTTAGAGATTGCCCAGACCCTCCCCCCTTGGGTGCGATTTACCTGCAATGAACAGGGACAGGCTAGGGTACAGAGGTCCCGACCTCCGCAAACTCCCGCCAGTGACCAGGGGAGGAACCAATTTTGCCCCTGCCACATGCTCCCCGAGACCATCAGCACCTGACCTCCCCACCTCCCCCCGCCACCCCCAGCTTCCCATACTCTGCCACCTTCGGCCTCCCCGCCACCTCCGGACTCGACAGATCCTCTCTCCCCTGGACCAGCGGCCAGACCGTGCTCGCGGCCAGACCGTGCTCGCGGCCAGGCGCAGGTGCTCTCCAGGTCCTGGTACGAGAGACTGGTGCGCTGGCTGGGACGCCGGAACGAGGGAAACCTGAGAGCCTTGATGTAAATGGAACCTTCCAGCCTGGCCTCTCGGTGACCTATCACCAGCCTTTTCTCCACTACTGATCTCCTCAACTGGAAACCTAACACACCATCGTGTTTTGAAAAACCGCAGGCAGTGATAGACCTGATGGAGTCCCTCTTCAGACCCACCGACCAACTCGAGAGGACTGCCAGCAGCTGCTCCGCACCTCAGCACTGAAGAGACGGAGCTCGGCAGCACCCTGAGGAACGCGCGCCAGCCGGGGGGGTCCGATCCTGGCACCCGGGCTAGAACCGCCGCACCTGAAGAACATCCCACGTGGGACTTTACTGCAGAAGGACAAGCCCACATCCGCCAGTACCAAGAGGCTCTCCTGCGGGGGATCCGAGCAGGGGCAAGAAGCCCATGAACATGACCAGGAGGCCCTCAATCAGCCAGCAGCAAGGGGAATCCCCCGGGGGATGTTAGGAGCCACTCGAGGCTTACCGCGTTTACACCCCATTTGGCCCCGAGGCGCAAGAAAGCCAGCAGACGGTAAACACCTCTTTCGCGGCCCAAGCTGCCCCAGATCTCAGAAGGAAGCTCCAGAAACTTGAGGGTTTTGGTGGAATGAACATCACGCAGTAGACCGAAGTTGCTAACAAGGTCTATACAATCAGGAAGGACTCTCCCGAGAGGGAAGCCAAAAAAAAGATGAGGTAAAAGGTCAGCCTCCTCGCTGCTGCTTTAAAGGAAAAGGACTATGGAAGGATGGAGAAGGTCCCACCACCAAATGGGGGGAAGCCCAGGACCTCCTTAGCAAGGGATCGGTGTGCCTACTTTAAGGAGAAATGACCCCCCCCCCCTCCGGCAGAGACCCCCTCCACCAAAATGTACTAAAGAAGAAATTAAATGGGCTGAAATCAAGAGGGCTACCCAGACCAAGGAAGGATGGTGGAAACTGCTAGATGGGTGCATCTTTGTCCCAGCGGCCTTCAGAGGGCATCTAGTCGGCAAATTCCATCAACTCCCCCATCTAGGAAAAGCTGCATTAGAGACCCCCCTCCCACACACACACACAAAGCAGTACTGCGTCAGCCAGCGGCCAGCGTTACGTTGAGCAGTAAGTGAATGAATGGTGTGTGACTTGCGGCAGGAATAACACCCGCTCGGTGCCGTGACCCCGGCCAGGTGTCCAAAGGGTAGGAGCTACCCCCTCTGAAGACCTAGAAGTAGACTTTACAGATGTCCGGCCAAGTCGAGGATTCAGCTACCTCCTGGAATAGTCTGTACACACTCTGGATGGGCTAAAGCTTTCCCTGCCAGGACAGAATGGAGCCGGAGGTAGCTGAGGTCCTCCTAAAAGAGATGGTCCCCTGGATCAGCCTGCGGCCACCATCCCCAGTAATAATGGACCTGCATTCATGGTGGACCTGATACAAACCGTAACCAACCCCCTCAACATCACTCGGAAGTGTCACGCTGCTTACCGGCCCCAAAGCTCAGGGAAAGTAGAGCGAATGAATCGCACCCTCAGGGAAACCTTAGCCAAATTCTGTCAGGAAACAGACCTCCCAGGGCCAGACCTGTGGCCCCTGGCCCTCCTGCGTGTCCGTTGCACACCCGGAACTCCAGGTTTCTCCCCCTCTGAACTAATATATGGGAGGCTCCCAGGGAACCTACACCAAGTAGGGGCTAAGGGAATGAGAGCAACTTCAAGCGTTAGGGGCCACTCTAAATAAGTTACAACAATACACCTAAGAGAGGGCCCAGTCTCTTCAGGATCCCCTGTATGCCCTTTCTCACCAGGGGACTCCGTCTGGGTCAAAGATTGGAAGAAAGGGCCTCTCAAACCACAGTGGATTGGGCCTCATACCATTATTCTGACCACCCCTACTGCCCTCGAGGTCACCAATATCATCCCCTAGGTTCACCACTCCAGAGTCCAGAGGGCCAATCTTGAGGAGCCCCAAAACTTTGGAAGACTGACCCAAGTCCAAGGAACCTGCTCAAAGTGACCTTTTGGAGAGTCCTAGGTTCTTAGGATCTTCAGCCCTGCTCCAGTCCCGGGAGCTGGCTGGTCTACACACGGCAGAAGCTTGAGGAATCACCATTCCGATAAGAGAGACTGTCCTTACATACGCTTTGCCATCGGGTTGGCAGAGGTACCCCAGAAAGCTGGGGAAATGGCGAGAAGTTCCTGTTTGCACTCACCTTCGTCTTATGAATAGGATGTTCTGTTGGTATTGATTGCCTGTAATCTGGGCCCCATTTGTAAGAGCAGGGCACCTTCAGTGGAAGAATCTAGGGAGTTTAAAAGCTTAAATGTGGTGTAACCTCTTTTGGTCTGTTGGGTTGCCTGCCAGTAAGGTTGCTAATGCCATTTGGGGGAAGTATCTGTACTGATGTATGTGCCTCCCACTTCAAGAAAGAGATTGTGCTTAGATTAACCTTCAGCCTTAAGGTTCAGGCTAAACGAGCAATGTTGCTACCTGTACTCCTAGGGGCAGAAATAGCCACGGGGATAGGCCTGGCATAGGAGGCATAGGCTCTTCTGTGGGACCAACAAGGAGCTGACTCCCTAGTGTCCCGCAGAGCCCAGTAAGTTCCCTGGCGGGAACCTCTTCCCTCCCCAGAGAAAGGGCACCTGCATCTTCTTCAGGGACTTCCTAAACCAGTCAGGAACAGTCACCAGCAGGGGCGCCTGGGGGGCTCAGTCGGTTGAGTGACCCACTTCAGCTCAGGTCATGATCTCATAGTTTGTGGGTTCGAGCCTCACGTAAGGCTCTGTGCTGAACAGTTGCTTGGAGCCTGGAGCCTGCTTCAGATTCTGTGTTTCCTTCTCTCTCTGCCCTTCCCCCCTACTCACACTCTGTCTCACTCTCTCTCAAAAATAAATGTAAAAAACTTAAAAAAAAAAAAAAAAGTCACAAGCAAAGTCCGGGAACTAAGGGAAAGAACCAGTCCATAATAAAGCGATGCCCTCTGATACAGACTAGATATGTTTAAAGGGGCATCAAAGGGGGGAATGAAAGGAAAAAAATCTGGTATAAGAAACACCTGTCCCTGATTAATGACGAATGTGGAAGTAACAGGCTATAAATTGTTCCCTCTGCTGATGATTGGGGTTCAGACCTCTGGAGAATGATCTCCTCTGAGCCCACCACTGTAAAATAAACCTTCTGCCTTCAAAGATCTCCGAGTACCGCTTGGTTCTTCCACTGGTGAAGATTCTGTAAAAATATCAGACACCGTTAATCAGATATATTTCTTCTCACAGCCATGCCCTGGAATTACCTGGAAAAATACCCCTCAGGGCAGGCAACTCCAAGCACCAGCTCCTGTTAAATTGGAATTGGCCACAGAGGTGAAATATATCTGCCACTTGTCAAGCAGTCTCTTCTGAATATGTATGTGTAAGATATATCTAGAGAGATGCAAAGAAATCTAATAACCCAGTTTCTCCAAGGAAGGAAACAGACCCGAGAGAGGGATGAGAAAGAGATGTTTCATTGTACATTATTCTAGGTCTTAAGAACTTTGAACCACTTAATTTCTAATCCTAGTACATCTTCCTTTCACTTGTCATATTGCATTGGCTAGGATTGCTAATGTTGAAGAGCAGAGGTGAAAAGTGGACATCCTTGTCTTGCATGATGTTGAAAATATTCCCTAAGATAGTATGGAGTATGTTTACGTGAGTTATAGTTTGGGAAATTCTGTCAACTATAGTGGCTTTCGTTTACACGTTTCCAAAATGCTTAATTATTTATAAAACCTAACTGAATGATGAGCCAGGCAAAGTGCTTTTTTAACGTGCCATCAGGGACTTCCTCCAGCAGCTCTCTTGGGGGCAGATAAATACATCAGTAACCCTAGTTTGTTTGATTGTCTAATTATTTTTAGATAATGAGAAGGAACGATTATCCAGCATTGAAAAGATAAAACAACTCAGAGAACAAGTCAACGACCTCTTTAGTCGAAAATTTGGTAAGTTTTTATATTGTTACATGTCCAAAATGTATATATTTGAAGTATTTTGTTTTGTTTTTATTTCTGAGAGAGAGACAGCGCGAGCAGGGAAGGGTTAGAGGGGGAGACACAGAATCCGAAGCAGGCTCCAGGCTCTGAGCTAGCTGTCAGCACAGAGCCCAAAGAGGGGCTCGAACCCATGAACTGTGAGATCATGACCTGAACCGATGTTGGATGCTTAACCGACTGAACCACCCAGACACCCCCAAGTATTTATTTTTAACTGAATACTTTATCCAAGAAATTGATCTTTTTGGGGACACCTGGCTGGCTCAGTCATAAGAGCATATGACTTTTTTTATTATTTTAATTATAGTTTATTGTCAAGTTGGTTTCCGTATAACACCCAGTGCTCATCCCAACAAGTGCCCTCCTCCATGCCCATCACCCCTTTTCCCTCCCCACCCCCATCAGCCCTCAGTTTGTTCTCTGTATTTAAGAGTCTCTTATGGTTTGCCTCCCTCTCCCCAACTGTTTTTCCCCATCCTCCCCGCCCATGGTCCTCTGCTTAAGTTTCCCAAGATCTACTTATGAATGAAAACATATGGTATCTGTCTTTCTCTGCCTTATTTCGCTCAGCATAACACCCTCGAGTTCCATCCACGTTGCTACACATGGCCAGATTTCGTTCTTTCTCATTGCCGTGGAGTATTCCATTGTATAGATAAACCACATCTTCTTGATCCATTCATCAGTTGATGGACACTTAGGCTGTTTCCATGTTTTGGCTATTGTTGAGAGTGCTGCTATGAACATTGGGGTACATGTGCTCCTATGCCTCAGCACTCCTGTATCCCTTGGGTAAATTCCTGGCAGTGCTATTGCTGGGTCACAGGGGAGTTCTATTGTTAACTTTCTGAGGCCCCTCCACACTGTTTTCCAGAGGGGCTGCACCAGCTTACATTCCCACCAACAGTGTAGGAGGGTGCCCGTTTCTCCACATCCTCACCAGCATCTAGAGTCTCCTGATTTGTTCATTTTAGCCACTCTGACTGGCGTGAGGTGGTATCTCAGTGTGGTTGTGATTTGTATTTCCCTGATGAGTGACATTGAGCATTGTTTCATGTGAGTGCATGTGACTCTTGATCTCCGGGTCATGAGTTCAAGCCCCACATTGGGTGTACAGATTACTAAAAAGTTTTTTTTAATTAAAATATCTTATTAATGTTTATATTTGAGAGAGAGACAGTGTGAGCAGGGGGGTGGCAGAGAGCGAGGGAGACACAGAATCTGAAACGGGCTCCACTCTCTGAGCCGTCAGCACAGAGCCCCACATGGGGCTCGAACTCCCAAACGACAAGGTCATGACCTGAGCCAAAGTTGGACACTTAACCAACTGAAACACCCAGGCTTCCCAATATTTTTTAAAAAAGAAACTCTTCTTTCTGTGAAGGATTTAGGATCAAGATTAATGTGTATTTTCCCTGAAGAGCTTTTACATGGACACACTAGTTACAATAGTAATAGCTATTTTTGATTTACTTTGTTCTTCCCATGGCTGATCATTGCTTTTAGCACTCACCTGTGATAAATCACTTAACCTTCACAAAACCCTTTCTTCAGCTAGATGCTACAATCATGTCTCTTTAACAGAGAGAGAAACTGAATCTGTTTTACTGCCCATTGCCAATTTCAAAGTAAGATTTTTTAAATTTTTTAATGTTTATTTATTTTTTTTAAATGTTTTTTATTTATTTCTAGGAGAGAGAGAGAGAGACAGCGCGAGCAGGGGAGGGTCAGAGAGAGAGGGAATCACAGACTGAAACAGGCTCCAGGCTCTGAGCTGGCAGACAGCACAGAGCCCGACGCGGGGCTCGAACCCACGAACCGCGAGATCATGACCTAAGCGAAAGTCGGACGCTCAACCGACTAAGCCACCCAGGCGCCCCTTAATGTTTATTTTTGAGAGCGAGCACGTGAGAGCACGTGAGAGCAAGCAGGAGAGGGTCAGTCAGAGAGAGAGGGAGGCACAGAATCCAAAACAGGCTCCAGGCTCCGAGCTGTCAGCACAGAGCCCGACACAGGGCTTGAACTATGAGATCATGACCTGAGCCAAAGTCGGACGCTTAACCGACTGAGCACCCCCAGGTGCCCCTCAAAGTCAGTAAGATGATTCATGAAGTAGTAATGGCTAATCACCCTTGTTGACACTTGATGGGAAGGATTTTAACCTCTTGGCCCTAAACCCATGGTTTGGGCAAAAGTAAGTGACACACTTAAGTGGCCTTTGTTGTCTGTCTCCTCCCAGGGGAAGCAATTGGGGTGGATTTCCCTGTGAAAGTTCCCTACCGGAAAATCACGTTCAACCCCGGCTGCGTGGTCATTGACGGCATGCCCCCGGGGGTGGTCTTCAAGGCCCCTGGTTACCTAGAAATCAGCTCCATGAGAAGGATCTTGGATGCTGCAGAATTTATCAAATTCACAGTCATTAGGTGAGCACTCCCTGCTTGGTCATGACAATGAATGTGCCGGTCGCCCCATGTGCAAGGGGGGATTTTTTTTTAATAGTTTATTGTCAAGTTGGTTTCCATATAACACCCAGTGCTCCTCCCCACAAGTGCCCTCCTCCATGCCCATCACCTCTCTTCCCCTCTCCCTCACTCCCATCAATCCTCAGTTCTCAGTATTTAAGAGTCTCTTATGGTTTGCCTCCCTCCCTCTCTTTTTGTGACCGTTTTTCCCCTTCCCCTCCCCCATGGTCCTCTGTTAAGTTTCCCAAGATCCACTTATGAGTGAAAATATATGATATCTGTCCCTCTCTGCCTGACTTATTTCGCTCAGCATGACACCCTCGAGTTCCATCCATGTTGCTACACATGGCCAGATTTCATGGTTTCTCATTGCCATGTAATATTCCATGGTATAGATAAACCACCTCTTCTTGATCCGTTCATCAGCTGATGGACATTTAGGCTCTTTCCATGCTTTGGCTATTGTTGAAGGTGCCCCTATGAACATTGGGGTACATGTGCCCCTATGCATCAGCACTCCTGTATCCCTTGGGTAAATTCCTAGCAGTGCTATCACTGGGTCACAGGGGAGTTCTATTGTTAACTTTCTGAGGCCCCTCCACACTGTTTTCCAGAGGGGCTGCACCAGTTTACATTCCCACCAACAGTGTAGGAGGGTGATGGGGGGCATTTTATTTTTTCGCCCGAGGAGGTGGGCAGTGGGTGTCTGAAGCCAGGTTTTTGCGCGGAGCTGCCTCTCCCACTTCTGTTCTGTTCCTCGGAGTCGTGTGTGCATGTCCCCGTTTCTCGGTGACGGCGGGCAGCCTCCGCTCTATCTCCCACGGCACCTAGCGGAGTGTTGACACCCGCCAAAGTCCATCAGCTAGCACAGCATGGACAAGAGAGGACAAATGACCTGTGTTGCATTCACCACGTCTCTCTCTCTCTTCAGACCGCTTCCGGGCCTGGAGCTCAGCAACGGTGAGTACCCGGCCGGCCAGGGGGGCACTCCAGCGCCCCCCATGCGGTGCGCGTGTCTCGCGGGCACTCCTTGCTGCTGGAGCCTTAGAGCAAAGCAGGCATTCTCTAGGTGCAGTTCCTTTTTCCTGCTGGTCATAAAGTCCTTTAATCCTGCTGCTCAGCCAGGCGTTTCTTTTCCCTTGATGGCTGGATGCAGCCCGAGGGCGCGCCCTCGTTTGGGAGCCCTTTACTGCAGGATCCGGTGGCTTCATACTGGACCAGCCCCTTGGGGCGCCTGGGTGGCTCAGTCGGTTGAGTGTCCGACTTCGGCTCAGGTCATGGTTTCACGGTTCGTGGGTTCGAGCCCCATGTCAGGCTCTGTGCTGACAGCTAGCTCAGAGCCTGGAGCCTGTTTCGGATTCTGTGCCTCCCTCTCTCTCTGATCCTCCCCTGCTCATGCTGTCTCTATCTCTCTGTCAAAAATAAAAAAATAAAAAAAAAAAACATACTGGACCAGCCCCTCCGGGGCGGTAAACAGCCCCGCCCCTGAGGCTCCCCCACCCAGATCTCCCTAAGGTTCGGTTCGGAGCCACAAGGGTTGCCGCCGGCACAGACGGGCGCCCGGGACACCCTCAGTCTGTGTGAGCAGTGCCCCACCACCGCGCCCCTTGGAGTCCTGAAGGGTGACTGCAGCGGGCGGAGAGCTGTCCACAGGGCTCCGAGTCACAAGGGAGCCTCCTCATTTACAGTTTGAAAAAAACTAAAATATTCTTGAAAAAATGCCCGACTGTTATTCCTAAACTTCACTTGTTGCTACATGAATTTTTTTTTTTTTTTGGTACATTGTAGCTTAAAATAGTTCACGTGCCGTAAAATCCACTTGTGTGAAGTGCGCACACATCAGTAATTTTTAGTAAATTTAGAGTTGTGCAATGTCACCACAATCTAATATTAGGATGTTGCTGTCACCTCCTCCAAAACATTCCTCCTACCCCCGTCCCGTCATTTCCCCTTTCCGCCCCCAGCCCCACGCAGCTACCGACCTCACTTTCTTTCTGTCTCTGCCTTCATTTTCTGAAAGTGAATTTTTAGGCCTGTGTTTTCTCCCAAGTAGAGCCCACCTGCTTCGTGGCCAGATCTCTTTAAATTCCAAACGAGTAAGTTCTGTGGGGCCCCATGACCATGGTCCTTTGTGATTCTGTGACCATGAGGCCTTTGTGACTCACAGCAGGTAAATCACACGCCTTCGGTGGTCGTCCACTTCCCTGTTATTCCAAAATTCTCTGGAGACCCGGAAGAAAAAATCTGCATTAAAATGCAAACTTACACATACTGCCAGATCACTTTCGCTTAAACCACATGTGGCAAACCTAGGTCCTTGCTGAACCTCATTCAAGAGGCCTTTTGTCTGGCACATATACCTTTTTTTTATGTTTATTTAAGAGAAAAAGTGTGTAAGCAGGGGAGGGTCAGATAGGGCGGGAGACACAGAATCTAAAACAGGCTCCAAGCTGTCAGCACAGAGCCCGATGCGGGGCTCGAACCCACAAACCATGAGATCATGACCTGAGCCAAAGTCAGATTTTACCGACTGAGCCACCCAGGTGCCCCTGGCTCATAGACCTTTTAAAAATGGGAATAAGAGGCCAACATTGAAAAGCCACGGACTTTTGCAAAAAAAGAAAAGAAAACAGAAAGCCACTTTATCACCAGCCTATCTCTGGGGATTGAGGGGCACCTGACTGGTTCAGTGGGTAGAGCATGTGAGTTCGAGCCCCACCTGTGGTGTAGTTTATTTTTTTTTTTTAAAAAAAGCCGATTTCTAAGTTCTGTTTAGGAATCTGAATAGCTGGCTATCACAGGCCATGTTCTCTCCAGCAGCAGTTTGCTGGACCTGAGGGTCTGCCCATTCCCCTCTGCCCATCCCCCAGCCACTTTAAGCCTGACAGTCATCATTGCGCTTTCACTATCATTTTTTGTAAAGAGAAAATGTGAACTATTTCTTGTTTCCATGTCTCTATCAAAAGTGGGAAAGAGAAAGATAGACCAGGAGGGCCGTGTATTTCAAGAAAAGTGGGAGAGAGCATATTTCTTCGTGGAAGTACAGAACATTCCTACGTGTTTAATATGCAAACAGAGCATGTCCGTGTCCAAAGAATACAACCTCCGGCGCCACTATCAGACGAACCACAGTAAGCACTACGACCAGTACACCGAGAAGATGCGGGACGAGAAGCTCCATGAGCTGAAGAAGGGACTCCGGAAGTACCTCCTGGGGTCCTCAGAAATCGCTGGTCCCGAGCAGAAACAGGTGTTTGCGAACGCGAGTCCCAGCGAAAATGCTGCCGTGCAGCCCGTAGAAGATGTGGCTGGGAAGTTATGGGAGAAGCTACGGGAAAAAATCAAGTCATTCGTGGCTTATTCCCTCGCCATCGATGAGATCACGGATATAAACAACACCACCCAGCTGGCCATATTCATCCGGGGCGTGGATGAGAATTTTGACGTGTCGGAAGAGCTCTTGGACACGGTGCCCATGACCGGTACAAAATCCGGCAACGAGATCTTTCTGCGTGTTGAGAAAAGTCTTAAGAAGTTTCACATTGACTGGTCGAAACTGGTAAGCGTGGCCTCGACCGGCACGCCTGCGATGGTAGACGTGAATGACGGGCTGGTCACGAAACTCAAGTCCAAGGTGGCAGCGGTTTGCAAGGACTCGGACCTGAAGTCCGTGCGCTGCATCCTCCATCCAGAATCCCTTTGTGCGCAAAAGCTGAAGATGGAGCACGTCATGAGCGTGGTGGTGAACTCCGTGAACTGGATCTGCTCTCGTGGCCTGAACCACAGTGAGTTCACAACACTGCTGTATGAGCTGGACAGCCAGTACGGCAGCCTGCTCTACTACACCGAGATTAAGTGGCTCAGCCGCGGGCTGGTGCTCAAGAGGTTTTTTGAGTCGCTGGAAGAAATCGATTCCTTCATGTCGTCCAGAGGAAAGCCCCTGCCTCAGCTGAGCTCTCAGGACTGGATCCGAGACTTGGCTTTCTTGGTCGATATGACCATGCATCTGAACACCTTGAACATGTCCCTGCAGGGCCACTCACAGGTCGTTACGCAGATGTATGACTTGATCCGGGCGTTCCTGGCCAAGCTGTGCCTTTGGGAAACTCACCTGGCGAGGAATAACCTGGCCCACTTCCCCACACTGAAGTCAGTTTCCAGAAATGAAAGCGATGGCCTGAACTACATTCCCAAGATCGTGGAACTAAAGACGGAATTCCAGAGAAGGTTGTCTGACTTCAAGCTCTACGAAAGCGAACTGACCCTGTTCAGCTCTCCTTTCTCGGTGAAGATCGAGACCGTGCATGAAGCGCTCCAGATGGAGGTCATTGACCTGCAGTGCAACACGGTGCTCAAGACTAAATTCGACAAGGTGGGGGTTCCGGAGTTCTGCAAGTGCCTGTGGAGCAGCTACCCCAAGTACGGCGTCCACTGCGCCAAGATCCTGTCCATGTTCGGGAGCACCTACATCTGCGAACAGCTCTTCTCCATTATGAAACTGAGCAAAACCAGATACTGCTCCCAGCTGAAGGGCTCACAGTGGGACTCCGTGCTGCACATCACCACATGACTTCCACCGCGTCCCCAGCCACCCCCCATGGAGTGCCGGCCCAAAAGCCCCCGGCCCGGGAGATAGCGAGAGGAGAAAGGAGTTCTGCAAGACTGCCGCTTTCTGGATTTTTTCCCCCCACTTTGACTTGGAAACAGGACGTGTGGTATCCCCACCTGTTTGTATGGCATTTTATGCTTCCTCCATAGTCCAGTAAAAGTCCAGACTTTTCTTAGATCTCTGGCCGTCCCCTTTCCTTATGCCTGGCAGGTTTCCCTCGTTCGTCGACCGGCCCGACCTGCGTTGGCATTGAGGCTGGCACGCTGAAGGCTAAATCAGAGAAACAGGTATATTTCGGGTGGGGCGGGGGATGGAGAGGATTTATGCACACGCACATCTATCTCCTCCCTTGTTACCTGGTGCCCTTGTGATCTAGCATGTTTGCAAGCTTGGGGACAGTCCGTTGGAGACACATTCACATACCCCTGTGTGACCTGTCTCTGCCTCCATGCCAGACCACAAAGGTAGGACTTAACAATGGAAAACCCCAGAAAATAACACGGGCTTTCAAAAGCCAAGGAAGCTAGGCTTGGAAGTTGTTTTTTGTTTGTTTTTTGTACCCTTTATTTGGAGGGGCACCTGGCTGGCTCAGTCATTAGAGCACCCGACTCTTGATCTCCAGGTGGTGAGTTCAAGCCTCCTATTGGGAGGTTGGGTCTGGCTAGCTCAAAGCCTCCCTTCCTGGGGCGGGGAAGGGATGGGCTGGTTTACAGCAGAGTCAGAGGGGACCTGCCCCCGGGGTACCTGTCCTGTTAACACCAAGTTAACACCCTGTGGACCCTGCAGGCAGAGATCGGCCCCCCCAATGTAAGGAGCAGCAGCTAGGGGTCAGAGTGATTAAACGGCCTACCAAGGCAGCACAGCAGAGAAGTCGTCTGGACTCAAACCAGGTCTGTATGACTCCAAAGTCCATGCTGTTCCGTGACAGGTGGCTATCCTGTGCGGCTTCCTGGTGGGCAGCCCAGCAGGTGCTGCCGAGGGGCTGGCGGGGGTCAGCCTGGGCTGCCTCCTGTGACTGGACCAGCCGTGGGCTGTTCTGTGTTGAGTCAACTCTTCTGGACCCCCGCTTCCTCTTTTTTTTTTTTTTTTTTTAAACTTCCTAAAGGTTTGTTTATTTTGAGAGAGAGCATGCACAAGTGGAGGAGGGGCAGAGAGAGAGGAAGAGAGAGAATGCCAAGCAGGCTTCACACTGTCAGTACTGAGCCTGAGGGCGGGCTCAAACCTACAACCTGTGAGATCATGACCTGAGCTGAAACCAAGAGTCAGACGCTTAACCAACTTAGCCCCCCAAGTGCCCCCCACCCCCCAGCTTCCGTCTTTACCCTGCAGGTGTGTTAGGACCACAGTGGCCCAGCACTGCCGATCATGCGGCTGAGCCAAGCCTGGGAGAATTGACTGAATGAGCAGGTGGTATTCTGGGGCTGTGGTGATGGGGTGTCTGCAAATGAGAGCACCAAGGAGTGGGGTGGTGGTCGGGCCCAGCCCAGGAGCTGGGGCTGGATTTGGTGACCCCTGTCAGGTCCTAGGGGCCAAGGGAACACTGCTCCTGTCCTCAGGCCCTGTCTTCCCAGCCCAGGTGGGCTACACACACTGGTCACCCCTCCAACCCAGGCAGGTGGCTCGGAGCTCTGCAAGCAAGGCCCCATGTCACCTCCCTCCTCTGGGCATTCATTGGCCATGCTCCCCTCCCCGAGGCCTGAGCCACAGGTCAGGAGCACTGTGGGGTCAGGACAGTGTAATGGACCCAGTAGGGCTTTGGAATCAGAAAGAAGAGCCTGGCTCTGGCTCCCAGTGCTGCCACCCCCTTGCCGTGTTACCCTAAAACATTGCCTACATTTTCTGAGGCTTGGTTTCCTTGTCCATAAAGTACCTGCGTGACAGGTTGTTCTCAAAACCGGAAACCACGTACTCCTGGCCAAGAAAATTGGCTACACGGGGCACCTGGGTGGTTCAGAAAATTAAGCATGTGACTCCTGGTTTTGGCGCAGGTCATGACCTCACATCGTTTTGTGGGTATGAATCTGGCACTGGGCTCTTCACTGACAGGGTGGAGCCTGCTTGGGATTCTCTCTCCCTCTCTCTGTCTGCCCCCCGCCCCCAACTCAGGCTCTGGGCTCTCTCTCAAAATAAAAGTTAAAAAAGTATATACTGGCTGCACACACATCAGATCCAGACAACTACAGGAGCATCTGCCCCCTGCGCTCTGTTGCCTCCTCCGTGGACAGCAGAGGCCCACAGACAGGCCCCATTGACCTCAGGCTCACACCCCACTGGGGCCTACACATCAGCACAGGACAGTGGGGCCATCATGAGGCCACACCTCCAGGGGACCAGAAATACAGAAAAACATGGGGGAAACGTTTGATCAGGACTTTGGCTAAGAAACATTGAAACTAAAAATAATGAAAATCTTTTATCTTACACAGTTTTTTAAAGTTATAATTGCAACTGAACAAAGGGGTTGGGGTTGCCGGTTAATTCTCTCACAGCTTTGTAGGCTAGTCCTTGATGAGCTGGACTTTTTTCCAGCAAAGCAGGTCTCCAAAAACCAAATAAAAGGCTTAGTGATTTTCTCAAGGCAGCTTGCTATAGTTTGATGGTCAAATTATCCTCCGCGGATTTTCCCTAACCTCTAAGGGACCCAGCCTTGCCCATCCTCCGGTGCCTCCTCCCAAGAGCAGGAACCGTTCTCCCTGCCACCCTGTGGCCTTCCCGACACGCTGCCTCTGTTCCCAGATCAGCAGCTCCAGGTTGCACGCCGGTGGCTTTGCATTTTGGAAAAGCTCCACCAGCGAAGACTTTGAGGCCGTGGGCCGGCAGCAATGCTGGGGCAGTGGTTCCTCACTGAACAATTCGCTTTCTGGAACAACCTCCAGACCGGGCAGCCTCTCGATGAGTTACCAGGGGCGCTCCCTACCTGTAGCTCAGTTACACTTTCTGCCACCTAAGGCGCACACACCGCGAGCTGTGGCACCCTTCCTCAGTGGGACCGAAGTTTCCGCAGGCAGTGTCTGTCCAGACAAACGGCCAGCGGGCGGACGGCGGGTTCCTCTTGCACCTGACCCTGTGCAAACGGGAGGTCTTGCAACTCCCCCAACCTCCGGCCCCCGCGAGCTCACAGCCCCTCTGTCCTCATTCTAGAAATACCCCCAAGGGCATGCCTAACCCAGTCCGCCACGCTTCTCTGCAGAGCCTCTGTCCATTCCACGCAACATTTATTGACAGCGGTTAATAGGTGGGGCCGGGCCCGGGGCTGCCGGAAGCATCCGGACCTCAGGATCTGTACACGGGAATACTGGAATGGGGTGGGACGGGGCGGAGGGGCCAGGGCGCCATCTAGGGGAGGCGCCGCGGCCTCAGACTGTAGACGACAGCTTCCGCTTGGTGCTCTCGCTGCAGCGGTGCAGGATAAGGTCTGCGCTGGGCCGCGGGGGCACGGCGGGCTGTGGTTTTGCGCGTCCAGTCTGCGGCTGCTCCCTTGCTGCGGAAAGCACGGACCCGTGAGCGGCCCGGCTCCGCCCTTCAGGCCCCGCCCCACCTTCCAGGGCGCGCCCCACCCCCTGGCCGCTGCAGGCACTCACGCCGGCTCCCTGAGCTGGGCAGTCCTACCGCGCCTGGCCCCGCCTCCAGGCCAGTCTTCCAGGCCCCGCCCCCGGCACGCCCAGGCCACTGCAAGCACTCACTAAGCGGGCTCCCTGAGCTCTGCGGTCCTGTCCCGCTTGGCCCCGCCTCCAGCCCCGCCCCATCTCCAAGGCCACGCCCCTGGCACGCCCAGGCCACTGCAGGCACTCACGCCGCGGGCTACCTGAGCTCTGCGGTCCGGGACCCGCCTGGCGGCGGCGCTGCTGCAAAAAACGGACACTGTTGCGCCGATAGGTGTCCTGGCTGAGGCGCTTCCGCGACCGCTGGTGGATGCTGTGTGCGTTGCGGATGGACGACCTGGGCCCAGAGGGACAGGGCGCTGCTCAGCGCCTGGGCGCCACCCCCACACCCCCGGCCCCGCGTCCCTGCACGCAGGGACTCCCACGACCTTCCCTAGGGTCCAACGACTGGCCCGGGGACAGTGGAAAGCTGGGCGGGGCATGACCATGGCTACCCAGCACCGATGCAGACTCCAGCCGGGTCACAGAACCCAGATCTAAGTCCCACGCCCTTCGGCAGGCTTCAGCCCGTGTCCTCCCCAGGACCTCTGCACTGCCGTCCCCCTCACAGGCGGTCCCCAAGGACACTAGACATCGACGCCTACGCCTTCACTTCCACTTCACACCCCTGCTTTCCCACCGCCCCGGTGCCAGCCCCACGATGAGGGAGGGCACGTCCAACCTCGATTCAGGGAGGGTGCTGCCTCCCTGCCTCCACCCAAGCCTCCCTCCCCAGCACTGCCAATCCAGGGCCTGGACCGACAGAGGGGGCCCGTGGTGCACCCCCTCCTCAGCCCCTTGTGGGTCCCAGGGACGCTGGCTCACCTCCGGGGTGGCGCCCCCCGGCTCTTGATCTGGCGTTGGGCCTGGGCTGCATCCTGCCCGGACTTCTGTAGGTACATGGATGGAAAGTAGCCTGTGATGTCGCCTTTCCTGCAACAAAAGGCAGCCCTTGAGTAGGGGCCTCAGGCGTGGGGGCTCCGGAATCTCTCTAAACAGTCGGGGTTAAGGCAGCTGGGAGACTGCAGACACCCCAGTGCCCCGCCAACACCAGACCCTGCCCCTCTGGGCCTCAGTTTCCTCATCTGTGCAACACAGGCCCCCGCAGCTGTGATGGCGGTAGTGGGAGGAAGTCGGCAGGTCCAACTTGCCCCCCACCCCCCCAGGACATGTGTTTGCAATGAAGCATCATCTGCAGCAGCGTATCTGTCAGGTTTTTCTTCTGTGGTCCCTGCTCTCTGTATCTAAGACACTCTTCGCCGATCTCCAGGGCACCAGGTTCCCCTAAGCTTTCCTTCCAAAACCGTTTTACTCTGGGGTTTTGTGCTTGGTGAAACCCACGACCCATCCCGAATACACGCACGGGGTGCCAGGCAGGGGTCTAGGCGCCTTTTCTCCATGCGGGCGCCCACATGTTCCAGCACCGCTTGAAAAGATGTTTCTTCCCATTGTCACCACTATAATTTGAGAGTGAGGGAAAAAAACAACTTTGCATAATACAAACCTCGCCCCTTAAAACTGATGTTTCTCAGCTGG